TTTACCTCAATTTAGGATAGACTCTATATATATACATATGTGTGTGTGTGTGTGTGTGTGTGTGTGTGTGTGTGTGTAAATTGCCTAACAATGTCATTTTAACACACTATTTAGTATGTAAATAATAAAATGTTAAAAAATATTTACAATGCGATAAAAAATAAACGCTATATTTCGCTAGAAAAACTAGCTTCATCAGGCGTGCAGCTATCCAGGTGAAATCGGATGCAGATAAGAAACTTTCTCAGCTCATTGAACGTTAAATTTTCCTGGTCAATAAATAACTTGGATGAAATTTTAGATTATTTATTTAATTTACGAAATCTGTTGCTGAAATACGGCAAGTTTTCAATGTCCATTGGCCAATATTTCAGAGATATCAAGGACGATACCAGAAAGTAAACTTATTTTTTGTCTTTCCTGTACCTTTTCTCGTTTTTTTTTTTTTGCCATTTAGACCATCAGGTTCTAAAGAAAAGAGTTGATGGATCCAAAAGTTTTCTCTCCTCCTTCTCGTCGTGGTGTCCCACTCAGTGTTCACTTCTATAATTTGAAAAGTAACATTATCAAAGTATGTTTCTTTGAGCGAAGATGTCTTGTGTGAGGACAATTTTTGTTGGTTTTGTACCATGATCGATGGTTATTTAGCCGAATATTAAATTTGTCCATTGTTTCTCCCCGTACTGAATGCCACAGGTGTTACACGTTAATACATAAATTGAGTTCTCCGTTTACAGTTGGAATTAACGTGCATGTTAAAACTTTCTTGGTATATATATATATGTAGGACTCGGAACCGCGATGGTCTCCGAACCGCGATGGTCACGCTGAAATGCGATGGTCCACGCTGAAGTGCGATGGTTAACACGCTGAAGTGCGATGGTGGCATTGTGACGTTAACTTTGTTGATAGCTACGCTGAAGTGCGATGGTGGATACGCTGAAGTGCGATGGTCTGCCTGTGACATTGAGTATAAAAGCAATATAGACATGAGCTGTTTAAATGAAATACATGGAAAATCATTCATTAAGGGAGCAACCATTTAACTTCAAAGGGGGTGGGGTTATGATTTTTTGTCTGAGTCAGAAATTTTTTTCACGCAAAGCGCTAACATTTTTTTGTTTTTCGACGCTTTCAATCAAAATAATTATATTAAAATTTAACACTATAAGGTATTGGGAAAATCTGGATTCAGAATATTTTTGTTGTCAGTCGTTCCCTAAAATTTGACAGCAGTAGTTACTAGCCTCGCATTTGGAAGATCTTTTAATTTCTGTTCAGGTCAAACCAATGACTGTAAATTTTGATTTTTTTATATCTAATTTTAAATTTGCCAATGCTCCAATTAGCACGCAGTAGTATGGGTTCAGAAAATAGGGTGTTCAAGAGGGAAATCAAAATAAGATTCAGCGTGTAGGTCTATATAATAGTACTATGCAGGGTCCATCTCATTTTATCAAATATTATGACAAAACTTAGAAATTGCTCACAACAATTATTCATCCATTTATATATACCTGATGTCGGAACAGTGTCCACGAAGTAAAAAAAAAACGCCAAGTACATTTATGCTTGACTAATAGCGAGACTTGTCAATTATTCAATGAAAAATTTAGTTGAGGATGATAGATTGGGAAGTACACGTAGGGACCAGTCATGTTAATTTCGGCCTAACATGTTGTAAACAATAAACACTGTAACCACAATAGAATAAGACTAGAGCGACGGTGTTATTACAAATCAGGATTTATCTCGGAAATAAAACATTATATCAACTTGATATAACAAAAACATTGCTAATATAGCAATTATTCTTTTTTTTTTATTAAATTGTCCACATAAAATCACGTGACGCTTACTTAAAGATAAATCAAAAATAATATTTAGATCAATATACTTTATTTATCGTGCAAAAAATTAGCGGCATAATTCCGAAAACTGGTAAGCCCATTTGCTGACCAAGTTCATCTTTCAGCCGCTTTGCGCCCCATGATTTGCCTCCACATGTAATGCTCAAAACTTTCCGGGACTTGAAACGTTCGTTACTTTCTTTTTCCCTTCCTTTCCTTTGTTAGCACGAAACATCATCTACAACCATATCCTCCAGCCTGCGAATGCATGTTGTATTTGAAAACGTCACAATATTCAAACGTCATGCATGCTAAACCATCGCACCTCAGCGAAAGGACCATCGTACTTCGGCGTGGACCATCGCAATTCAGTGTGAACATCGCACTCCAGCGTCCCCATCGCACCTCCGAGTCCTACATATATGTATATACATAATTACTCTAAATATCAGCACAACAATGTTAAATCTGTGCAAATTTTTGTTCTTCCCTCGCCGGGATTCGAACTCATGCTATTGGGATATCGAGACAACACCGCCTGCACTGTGTCTAGCGCTCTAGACCACTCGGCCACCTAAACTAAAAATTCAGCTTTCGGTGGCCTAGTGTTACCTTTCCTCGTCAGTAGAATCTAGAGTTGTAACACAGTACATGATATATAAGGCATGAAGATAGAATTGATATATCTTAGGCAAAAGATACCAAAGGGATATTCAAACTCATAAGTCGAAAACAAACTGACAATGTCATGGCAAAAAACGAAAAATATATAATAAAATATAACAAATAATATTAAAAAAAAAAAAAAAAAAAAAACTTGTAAAAATATTATTTAAAGGTATTATATTTGGAACAATTAACTGGGAACAAGCCATTACAAAATTACAAAAAGTTGTCAATGAATAGGAAAACAGAAATAATAACTTCAACTCAAAAATGGATATAATTAAATCATGTGTTGTAAGCAAATGATGATAAATATCTAAAAGATTTCCACCATCAAAAGAACTTACAAAAATAGAAAACATATACTTTTTTTATTTGAATTTTTCTGCTATAGCAATTAATTACTGGATAGAAAAGCATTGCTTAGAAAAAAAAGTTATGATATAAATGCTTGACTATTAGGGGAAAAAAAATAGGCAATGTGGCTACAAAAAATACCACATATTATCAAAGCAAATCAAACAATGTAATGCCGGCGCGGACTATTAGGAAAAAATATACACAATGTGGCTAAAAAATTACCATTTATTATCAAAACGAATCAAATAATATGGAAGTCATTAGATACACAATCTGACAACAAACAACAACAATTTGAGTGTTTAAAGGATCAAAATTGTCACATATAAGTTGTTACAAAAGGCAGATATCTTAAGAATAATCTTAAACGGAGGGCAAGAATAGAAAGTTGTGTTTTTCAATGTCATTTAGAAAACTTTGTCTCAACATCCGGGCTTCTGGGCGTTCATGTTTAGCTCAAAGGTCTCATCAATGGTCTTCATTGTCTGTTTACTTTTACAATAATCTTTTCCCCTAATACTATTTGTCCAATTGGAACCAAACTTGACCACAATTATTATTGGGGTATCAAGTTTGAAAATTGTGTCACATGATCCTGTCTACAAATTTAAATAGTCGTCAAGGCTCAAAATGAAATATGGGGATAAAACACAAGTATTCTTCTTTATTTTAAAAACTGTTATAGATGGAGTAAATCTGAAATAGCAGAAAAAATATTTACGAACCGTCCATTTGACTAGACATAGTAGTGATTGCCCTTAAATGACGATGTTTATCTTTTTTGCAATTTTGGCTGTCATCTTTAGAACTATAACAGGTAAAGTGAAAGTGTAAATGTCAAAAATGATCAGCAAGACATGAAATTACAAGTCAACTCCTTCAAAGAGTTATTTCCCTTGAAAGACGAATCTTTCCCTTGTTTGATGTTTTTTATAAGAGTAATTGCCTTGGAAGACGATTTTTATCCATTTAGTGTTTGTTGTGGAAATAATATTAGAGAAACAGTTACTGTTTAAAGGAAACATTTTTATTAGGTCAATAACTACAAATAAGTCAACATGGCTAAAATCATAAGTCGACTCTTTATAGAAGTTATGGCCCTTGAAAGAATAGTTTACTCATTTTTGTGTTCTTTTGCAGAAACTATGACAGATAGACAGAAACTGTGTATAGCAAAATTAGCAGTACGACATTATCAGCAAATAACTCAAAATCGTCAGTCGACTCCTTTTAGACGTTAATTCCCTTTAAAAGACGATGTTTTACACTTTTTAAAATTTTGACTGAAGTTGTAGTAGATGGACAGAATCTGTAAACATCAAAATGATCAGCAGGATAAGGTCTTCTTATAAGGCAATCGACTCTTTTTAGAAGTTTATTCCATTAAATGAAAATATTTACCCGTTTTTCTTTTTTGTCACAACCTATCAGAAATTGCATTGTATTAATTTTATGCAAAAAAGGTAAGGTGAACAATACAGGCTTCTTGTAGCTTCTAGTTTGTAGCACTGAAAGAAAATTTTTCGTTTTGACCTTAATGAAGTTGTTTAATTATACAAATTTTCGTATTTATAAATAGAATGTATTTGGTCAAATGTGTTTTTTTGCATACGTAAATACAATTGCCACATGTTAATGTCCGATACACAAGTCTACTTTTCAGATCTAGCATAAAACGGGCATAACGCATGATTTAGTATATTGAGAAAAAAGCGCACTTATTTTTCTGACAAGTAAACTTAATAAACTGACAAGTCGATATCAATTTGAAATTGAAATACTTATTTGACAAATAGGGACGGTTACATTCCGCCATACTTATGTCTGAGATCATATCATTCAAAAATTTAAAAACAAATACAGTCCTCTGATATTGAATTCGTTTTTCGACATTTAACTAGTTAAACTAAAAGGTTAACGATGTCATTGTGTCTACTACATTTAATTTGAGATGTTTCTTCAGTATATATATCATATCACTTAACATAAACGGTTTCGATTCTTTGGTCCGCGACAACGTTTAAAGGGAAACGCATGACTTATTGTACTTTTTTAAATATTTTACACTTTTGTTGTCTGTAAGTTTGAATTTTGCAAATAATTTTATGTTTTGATACTTTCTAGTTCGTTTTAAAAAGGTTAGATGGGATCTTCATAGATATAAACGATCCGAGCAAGCTTTTTGTGCAATCAGAGAAGATCCACAGTGTTGTTTGGGTTCACCATGCTGCAGTGTTTCATTACATGGCATATCCTGTTGTTGTGATGAGGCCTGTATATCGTATAATGATTGCTGTCCTGATTACATAAGTACTTGTCAGGCAGGTAAGCATTTGCATCTGTAATGAATATTCCAATTAATTAGCTCGTTGATACATATACATAGAATATCAGTATCTTTTATAATTTGATTATGCATTATGGGTACGCGGGCCCTGTTGTAAAAATTAAAGCTGTAGTTTTACTGTTTAAAAAGAAATCAGTACAAATAATTCGGCTCGGAAAACGAGCACAGAAATTGCTTAAGAAATTTTACGTCTCGCTTTTCATTACACAAATTATAACGATGACTTTTTAATTAGTTTTCCTTTATAGTTGTGTATTTATAGTAGCTATTGTCAGTTGCAATGGATTTATTTGTCCATGTTGAATTAAACAAAACAGTTATCTCAATTTGAAGTAAAAATAAAATACCAATAATGACTACATTTGTCGAAGGTAAGACATCAGGAACGTGTACAGGATGTGTACGTCCTGTCACGCTAGAAAAGTATAACAGATGTATACTCAATTAGTTCAGTTCGTATTCAGGTGATGATTTCGTGACGTCATCAACCAGATGTGATAATATCCATCAAGGAATCGTAATAAGGTCTACGCATGTGAGGCGTAGATATCAGATATCATGTGACAGGAGAGTGAACTGCGCATGTGATACGACAAATTACGTGTCCGGAAAACAGTAACGGAGGTCACCATCTTGGAAAATCATATAGCTCATACGTAACTGCATGCCATTCTTTAGTTCCTGCCATTTTTCGTTCGTAGAAACCTTGGTTGTATGAAAAAAATGTTATAGTAATGGATATGTATCTCAAGTTTTACCTAAGGTAGCACACCACGGTTTGGAATTAAACTCCAAATTAACCCACAACATGTTTAACTATCCTCTTTTCCTGGCTTTCTAATAAATAAAGCTAACTGCTTGTGTCATACATGTGCAACTGGATCTTTTAAGTATCTTATGAAAAAAAGTATAACAAAAATACCGAACTCCAAGGCAAATTAAAAAAAGGGAAATCAATATAAACTGACAAAATCAAACGCTATCAATCAACGAGTTTGAATGTCTCTCTTGGTATCTTTTGCCCCTCTTTCGTAGATTTTTATAATTAAAATTGAGAGTATGATTTCTTTTTTGTGTATCCATGGCTATTTTGCATTTAATTGCTCTACAATATTGCAAAAGGGGCCTGGAAATGGCGCATGTTCTCCAAAACATTAATTCAATTTCAATCCTGTTTCTGAAACCGTTCACATCTATCTTCTATATTACGAAAAATTAAGATGCTTTGGTATGGATGTGAAAATAATGACGGCCAAATAGAAAACAGCCTATAAAACATACATAACAAATTCTTGATGTTCATATAAACCCATTTTGAATGATATATTAATCTTCAGCTATCAAAAAATGTGTTTTATTCCACATATTAACCTTCATATTTGAATAAATCACACTGACTTAAAAGTAAAACCACAGACCAAACTGCCAAGCTACCTTATTTTAAAAAACCGAAATACCCATACATTAATACGATCGAGGTTTTTCCGAACGAAAAAAGGCGGGAGATTTTTTTACACTCGTGTGAAAAAGCGTGAGTACCGGAATGCGCTATATTACTGTACAAATAGGCGGTATCCATTACTATCCTCCGGTCACGTAATATGTCGTCACACATGCAATAAATGAAAACCTCTCCGGTCACACATGCTCAGAACTCCGGTCAACTGCTAGATGACATGATATATAACGTCATTTTTGGTGGACTACGTCATGAATCCAAACTTTGAATCCACCACCTGAATACGACTTAAAATGTCTCAATATACGTTTTAATAGTTTTATAAAAGTACACAATTAGTTAGAAAATGACTACCATTTTAGTTGTTAAAGGTAAGTTTTCCCGTAAAATTCAATTTTAAGTTCAGAAATTCGTATCATATGAATCAACCGAATAATAAGAATATAACAAGCGAAAAATAAATCATAACATACCCAAAATATACGTTTAGAAAACACAAAAATGTTTTTGATCCGAGCATGAAATTAATGGTTTGATGTCGCCAGTTTAAGAGAAATCTCTGTTAGAATCAACAGAACCCACCCCGCATACACATTGTAATTAGTTATACGAAGATGACCAAGGTGTTTCTTCAGCACCAAGTCGCTAATTAGTCAATATACATTCGTTCATTCAACATGATAGATGAAATCCTCTCAAAGTTGAAGTATGATTAATATTGACTAAATGGTAAAGATTGTATCGCATTGATTATATTAAAATTGCTTGTCAATAGTCTATTCTTGTACAAGATACAACTCCAGCACACACAGTCTCTAAATTAAGATGCAAGTATTCGCCATGTGGGGAATAGAAATATATTCAACAAAATCAGGTTTATATGAATATAGAAGATTAAGCATTTAATAGTTATCAAAGGTACCAGGATTATAATTTAATACGCCAGACGCGCGTTTCGTCTTCCTAAGACTCATCAGTGACGCTCAGATCTAAATAGTTATAAAGCCAAACCAGTACAAAGTTGAAGAGCATTGAGGACCCAAAATACCAAAAAGTAAAACTTATGTACATTAAACAAAATCTCGATTTTAGTATTTAATCAACATATTTGTTAATAGTTATACGCCAAGTATCCTTGCATTTTATCTGACCTGATTATTTTATTACACTAAAGATATATTTGTCTTTTTATAATGAACATTGAATTCAATCAACAGTGACTGTATCTGCTTTTTAACAGGTTCGTCAGTATTTACTTTAGCTTGTTAACGCATACATTATCTTTTAGGTCCATGCAATCAGTACTCAATAATTCAAAATGAGGAAAAACGGTCACCAGGGTATGTCATGAATATTACAACTGACTTGCCTATCAGTGATGAAATGATTAATAATACTTGGTATCGAGTTATTAGTGAAAATGGCGAGGAAATGCCTAAATATCCACCTGGTATATTACATTGTGGAACAGTTAATCCAATCTGGCTCAACGGTAAGAAGAGTAAAATACAGTGCTGAGTAATTTATGAAAATATAACACCACTCGTAATGTGGTGTATAGCAATAACATATCATTTCTAATGTATTGGTCCCTTTTAGCTGAATATAAGAAAGCATTTTAATATTTTGTCTTACAAATAGCTTTCATGATAATTTGAATATTCTTTGAGATCCGCATTCAGTATTGTTTTTTCAAAAGGGGAAAATCAGAACGAGACAATTATGAGAGCTAGAAGTTCTACATTTTCAGTTTCAGAAATTAAAATCATATGACGACATGTTAATAGTAGGATTAACATATGACGACATGTTAATCCTACTATTGACTTTACTAACAATATTTGATATATTTAAAATATTTCATTTGCTATGATGTATAAAATTAAGATCTGACACAAGTTATCACAACTAGTCGTCTCCTAAATATAAATTTGTTACAATGTATACGTATAGAGCAACGCAACAATATGAAACAATTAAAAATTTGTACAATAGTTCCATAAAAGAATAATGCACACACACAATTTTCTAAAGCAATCACTGTCTTATGTCACCTAGAATTTTTAAAATATTTACATTTTACTTCATTAAAATATTGTTTAAGGGAAAAAAAACACATATAAAGTTCAAACGTTAAAATGTTATACTTCTTTAACTAGGATCATAATATTATTCTGATTATGAATTAATTTGAGGTTCCATTTGATAAAAACTCATTGACAATATAAGGCCTATAATTTGGTACGTCAGACGCTCGATTCGTCTACAAAAGACTCATCAATAAAGTTACCAGATCTTAAAAAGGAAAACAAGTAGTTAAAAAGATGAGTTCTGTTTTGTGCATAAACCGGGCATTCACAGAAAAAAATGAAAGCTGTCTTCGGTCGAACAGCCGACAACAAACGGTTGAACTGTTGAAAAGCTGACCAACAGTATCCAAAGCTACCTTCATTTTTTTTAATGAAAAATAAAAAGCCAGTTGAAAAAATTCTCTAAAAAGAATTTCAATTTGTTTCAAGGCTTCTCTGGTATTTATACAAACTCGACTGTTCATAAATAGATTTGATAAATAATATATACTCATACATCCAAAGTTGACTTTAATCAACTTAGTATGGTACAAAATATGCAACCTAATGCGTTGAAAATAAAATACTACTATTTTCCCTATACTGGGACAAGAATATACATGGTTAATGCAAAGCTAAGCTATTATGAAATTATTTGCTATTAAATGAAAACAACACTATCAATTTCGTGTGTCCGAATAGAAAACTTGTCTGTACACATTACTTATAGAAACAGTGATAGATTTATGTCCTACCCCATACATGCAAGTTTTCCTCATTCTCTTATCTTTTCTTGAAAATAGTTGCAAAACTACATGTAACCAAATATTTCTGATTATATCTATAATAAATACCTTTTAAGTAGAAAATATTTAAATATATTTTTATACATATCTTTAAGATTCTTTACCAACTGCAGAAGAAGGAAATTTAACACGAGCAGCTTGTATGCAGACATCTCAAAACGATTGTGAGGAAGAAATTATAATCAATATTGTCAATTGTTCTGCAGGATTTTACGTCTACAATCTACAGAATACATCAAAAAACTCTGCTTATTGTTTTGGTATGTCACATAAACTATTTTAATTATAAGTTAATTACACCAGTAGCTGTTAAATAGTCATAGATCTAGATATAAAAGCCATCAAACGGTCGTCTAAATGAAACATTACAAATACACCGTATGTAGGTATGATATGCTTTTTCTGAATGATGTGTAAACAAATAGTGTTTGCCCACCATTTTACGAAAATGCCAACCAGAAAACATATTGCTTGGATTTTAACAAAAATATACTATCAAGAAAACATCCTGTAATAACTGCTGGTGTCATAATTTATAATTGACAACTCATTTACATGGTTTATTTTGCATGCATGCATTAGTGTATGTGCCTCATACAAAAAATGAGCAGGTCCTTGCAGACATTTCAGTTTTCTAATTTTACAATAGCTTATGAACAATGTTTGAAAAAGAGGAATATGCTAATTTTTATCAAAAATGATTTTTTGGCAAACTTGGCAGTACTATATAAAGTGGCATAACTCTTTGACTTTATGTTGGAGAAATGTTTAATACAAAGTTAGTTCCTTCCCCTGTTGTTATCTGATTTCAGAAGGCGCTTCAGTTGCAGATTGAAAGTGGGAGGAAATTTTGGGAACTGAAATTATACCCCCATCCCTCCCTGGAAAACTGTTTTCTGTAATAATTATTTTTAAATCATTTTAAAATTGACATATTTAAAGTAACATGAGTAAGGTACATACATATTTTTACTTTGTTGTACTAGATGTCAGTGATATATTCGAATGTAACCCCATCTTTGATGGGATGGGTCAATAAGGTTTTGTCATTATAAACATATATGCATGTTTATTTTTTATGCTTCTTCGTCATTTTAATAATAAATGACAGTTTTCAATTCATTACATGTGTTTGTTTGTCATTCCTTCATCCCATCAAACAGAGCAAGCCTGTGTTGACAAAAATTTATGCATATAAACATTTTATATTTTGGATCTTGAAAGATCTTTATTCCTTCACGATGATAAGTTTATCCCATATACCGAACGACAGCCATAATATGTAATGAATGCTACGTGCTATGTAACTATCATTGTTTTATAAGGAAGTGGACCTGTGCTTTGTCCCGATGGATTGTCTTCAGAAACCGGTTATTATCCAGGATGTTCTTGTAAGTATAACGTATTGTTTTCCTACCAATGTATTTGAATCATGCCGCAATTTCTATGTTATGAAAACTTCTCTATCGTTTCAATTGTCGAAAAAAAATATCACGACAGGTATCTTTCTTAGATTAAAAAAAGATATAAGATTTATTATACATGTGACATTGTTCTGTATAACTATTTTTTTCCAGACATTAATTAAAAAAGGACATTTTTAATATTTGAAACATTGTATGTTAAAGATCAGTTTTTTATATCTTAACTGTAACATCAAACCATTCTTTTTTTCCTCAAATAAAAAAGGGGGAATTATATGCTATATCCCTGTAATACTTGAAGGTATCGTTTTGAAGTTTCATAAAAAGAGTAAAATATTGATAGGGTGCATTTACTTAAATTGTTCGTTTGGCCAACGATGAAAGAATCACTACACACAGTACAGTAACGGGGAAGATAATGTGTTGTCAAAACAAGTTTTGGTTTCACTTAGTTGCAAATGATAGTCGTTCGACATCGCAGAACATAGTACAACAAGGTCACAAAATTTAGTTGTGCGACTTCAAACCGGTTGAAATAAATGACAATGACTTGAATAAAGCTTACCAATATGAATAAAATGATATATAGGTATACGTCAATAATACAGTAACCTAATAACACACAAAAACACGAAATTCATTTATAGGTCAAAATAGTCTTCAATTAAGCAAGAAGATACAAAGAGAGCAATCAAAATCAGAACTACAAATAACATCTCTAGATAAACACAACCACATAGTGACGAGGCCACTAACGGGACTTTCTTGTCCTTTCCGTCTGTGTATGTTTTTTTATAGCATGTTTTTCCAATAAAAAATTTAGCCAATATCGGTGATTTTTGATAAGACAGTTACCAATCAAAGACCACACACAACGCAAGATAAACCTGGAAAATGTATGAACTGGAACTAAGATTTTAGTCCTATAATACGTCATATAAACTTTAAAACGGTTTGTCATATTGGAAAAGGTACAAAAAAAGATAAATATGTAAAACATGACAAATGAACATTAAAGTGCAAGTATGCTGAAAATGGATATGAATTGACAAGTAAAAACTAACTTCTTTTTTGAGAACTTTTTTCTCCAAATGAAGTCGATAATATGTGTTTAACATATAACCATAAAAGTATAACTTAAATAGTAAATTAATTATCTCTGATTGGCAGCATCCTTTCCGAACAAGACAGTTTCACCCGAAGTTGAGCCCCTGTTGATAAATGGACCAACATTCAACATACCAAATTATAGTCCTACACCAAGTCTTCTACCAGCGTTCAGATGTCGATTCAATGATATTGCTAATGGAACTTATGTTTATGATGTGTATTGGTATATTAATGGACACAATGTGACAATGCACAAAAATATAGAATTAAGTCACATAAATAGCACATTTTTAAAGACGTCTGATTGGATCAATGAATACCAAATGAACATGGAGGTAAAGTTTTGGAAAATCGGTTTCGATACCAAATCATATAGGACTTAAATTTGAAATCATTTAATCCAATGTTTTTTTTAAGTTAAGAAATAAGAAATATTTGTGTAATGGTTGGAAAGGTCAAATCTTTTTATACTGTCACACGTGAACAGGAACTCTGATTGTAAATACTTTAACAGATCTTTAAAATTTTTGTGGTATCTACATCTAACTCACATTGAATATGAAGTATATTTTAAACTTTATTCAGAATAAGAAAATATACCATCCTATTTTACACCTGATATGTATTGAAAGAGAATCTTAAAATGCATAATAATTTATATTATTAAAACTAATACCTGAGTGAATCTTAATGCTAGTTCTTGGGGCCACCCACAGTATTTGAATGAACCAATATATTTCGATCATTCTTTCAAAGATTTTCAAGGTTCGATGATCAATAAAGGTTGGAAGTTTTTTATTGACCATGGGATAGTAGATCCTCTGAACATACCTCACGAGAAAAGCTGACAAAGACTCTTATAATAAAATTGTCATTTTATTTTGCTATGTTATTAAATGGTAATTCCTGTTGTATTGTTTAATCTATATCGCAATATGCATAAATATTGTATCATTTTGTTTTCATGTTTAGGTTGTATGCACAGTTAAGAGTCCGGTTTACAAACGGTTCACTGCCTAGCCCGTTTTATACTAGTCCGATATTTGGAGCAGGTTTCTATGTACGTTTTAAGATACAAATAGCAAGATTATTCATCATTGTTTTATATTCAAAATGCCAGAAGCATATGAAACTTACCTGTACTGTTATCACATATGGATAAACATTATAAAGCGCATGGCCACTTGAAAGATATGTTCAGCAATACCATATAAATGTAGAGACTATTCCCTGTAGACGAGCGTAATTTTCTAAATATACCAATGAGTTTTACTTGAACTTATGGTTACTAAATTAATTCTTGTGTGTTTTAGAATTTGATATTAGAATTTCTCATAATAGTCTTCATGCTAAAATGTATGACAATTGGAACAACTTTTCCTTTGCTATTGTTGGTTGATTATTTACTTGATAATAATTTTGCTAGCTTTTTGTGGATTGGTAAGATTGCAGCTGCTTGCAGGGAAGTTAAAAATGCATTAAAGAAATCAAAAGATTTATCTTTAAACTGTTTCAAAAATTGCAACTTTTTACTTGAGGCAAGTCCATCCGTATCTGTGCACCAGTGTATATTTTAAAATGTTTTCGTCATAAAATTGCCCTAAGGCTTTTACAAGTATCAAATGAGCAAAACTGATAATTTGAACATACACAATTACATATTTATTTTTTTTCTTCCAAGTAAGATATTATATTCATTTGCTCTGTCAAATTGACATTTTTATCTACTGTAACAGCAAAAATTTAAATCATTAACATAAATTATAAATAATAAAGGGTCCAGAATAAATCGTTGGGAACACCAATCTAAACTGTGTGTGGTCTCTCCGATGAATTACATATGCTCTTTCGCTTAATGATTGTTGTTATATATTTCCAGGAGTAGCAAATATGTATGTATCTTGTTCAAGTATTTGAACGTTGGTCTATTGCAGCCTACCTGTTTTGTCTCCTACATAGTTAGTCGTCGGTTCTGTTATTCATGTCGTTTGTGCTGATGTCAGTTGTATTTGTTGCAATCCGATCTGGGTAGAATTCCTGATAAAGTGATTCTATAACGGCTATCATGAATATAATTGATTTTCTCTTCATAGAATTGAACATTTGTATTATTTCCTTCACATGTATAATTGTTGTGTTGAAATTAGGTAATTTCATGTTCTCGGGTCATTATTTAGATCAACTACATCGACAACTAGATGTATATATATACATCCGCAAGTTTATTGTTTTCTGTTTGGTATTAAATTAATAATTAAGATCCATTTTGTTACATCTGGTGATCCGTTTATTTGGCAATCGCCAATGGCAGTCGACAGTGTTTAAGAACATCCGTTGTTCGACCTGCTAGTAAAAATATACTTTTTCACTTTTTTGGTCTTTTGGAAAATGTTGTTTGTGTTGTATTTAGACCCCTCTACCAAGAAATTTGTTTTGCATGCACACGTATAAAAAATGCGGTTTTTATCCAACGCAATCATAGGTTTGAACGTTGTTTTCAATTTAGACTTGTTTATATTTTTTCGTTTGGGCTTGTATTATATTTGCCCTCGGGTTTATTTAATCCGTTCATCCTATTTCTATTCTTCAAAATTCAAGAGTCTATCCTAAATTGAGGTAAATTATATGGCCTTCCAAATACCGTTTCGATTCCTAACATCACTGAAGAGACAATAATTGTCGAAATCCGGTTACGGTGTACCAATTTTTGCACCCCATGTTTGCGGTATACAATCTTTTCCGCAAGTTTATTGTTTTTTTGTTTGGTATTAAATTAATAATTAAGATCCATTTTGTTACATCTGGTGATCCGTTTATTTGGCAATCGCCATGGCAGTCAGCAGTGTTTAAGAACATCCGATTTTCGACCTGCTCGTCAAATGCGTTTTGTTAAAATATACTTTTTCACTTTTTTGGTCTTTTTGGAAAATGTTGTTTGTGCTGTATTTAGACCCCTCTACCAAGAAATTTGTTTTGCATGCACACGTATAAAAATTGCGGTTTTTATCCAAAGGAATCATAGGTTTGAACGTTGTTATCAATTTAGACTTGTATATATATATATCCTTATAATTCGGTAGTTTTGACGAATCAATCCCTTTCTAAACGTATCTTCCATCAATCAGTACTCGACTGTCTGAAATGGGATGATCGTTTTGCATGTTTAGGCTTGAAATATTTCGATTGTTGGGTTGTCTGCTATACGATTTCGATATTTGAGTGCCCAGTGTCTTATATTTTCGGAATTGTTCGATCTTCGTCTTCTGGTGTTGTCATTGAAAAATACTAAGTATGTTCGTTATTTTGAATTATGTTTTCTGATTGTAGTAAACTCAATTTTAAGATTGATATGTTTTTACAGATCTTGACTTCATTTGCATATTTTGGGTTCTTTTCTGTAGCACATTAAGTCTTATTCTGGATTATTGTTTACATTTACAATTTCGTGTTCAATGTTTTTCGGTTTGTTCGTCTCCTGTTGGTCATGTTGAATATTTTTTCCATGTCCATGTCCAGTTGTTTTTCAAGCTAGAGCAAAACTCCAGCTCCATAAAGATATATTTTGATCTATCTGTTTCCAAATTTGACCACAACAGCACTTTATAGTACAGGAAATGGATGTTGGAAAAGCATAACAGGATTATCTAAAAAAAAAAAACGCAAACGATTTACTCCTTTTGTTTGATTTATTTACCTGTATATACGTTTAAATTTTTTTTTATTGATTTATTCAGTTGTTAATTCGATATTTTATTTGAAATTATAGTAATGAAGTAAGTAAAATCTCTCATTAATCGGCGAGTTTTGAAATTTTGATTTCGAAAGTATATGCTCTGTATTTTTACAATTTTTATTCTTTCACATTTTTTAGCCAGATAAAACTGAGTATACTGTTATCGAAGGTGAAAACATCACCATACCGATGACATCAACAGTGCCAGTATCGTGTATTGCCTCACATCCAGACATCCGCACAAAGTGTGCTCAGAACTTCTTTATATTTCAACCTAAGTACGGCAAAAATAAAGCATCATGCTTAAACAATATCGCTAAAAGAGATATTGTTTTTGAAGCAGAATTTTGTGGAATAAAACTAGGAAATCTAGATTGGAATGAAACGAAATATCTACAGGTTTATGGATCTAGTGATGGTCTATACAACCATCAGGGCAGGTCGACATTTATTCGGATATCTACGAAATCTATTTCAGCTTTCAACGAAATCTGGAAAGACGTCAAGATACCAGAGATTAAGGTTGATATATTAATTAGCGTGATTCTTTTTGAAATGCTGTTTTTTTCCAATTATATTTAAGTATATTTGATTGAAACAAACGAGAAAAGCATGCAATAATCTAAATATATGTTCATATCTTTGTTAGGTAAATATCACTGAATATGAACAATGCAACAAATGTACTATACTTAATTAGCAAAGACCACTCGAAACAACATCTGACACAAAGATTTAATAACACTTTTAGATATTTGGATGATATATTGCCTCTCAATAATGACGACTTCAGTATGTACACTAAAGAGATATATCCTGCTGAACTTACTTTAAATAAAGCTAATACTAACAATGAACACTGCCCTTTCCTGGTTCTTGATATCTATATCTTTAACGGGAAGCTTAATACCAAAATTTATGATAAAAGAGATGATTTTTCATTTCCTATTGTTAATTATCCATCTCTAGATGGTGATGTGCCCTTGTCACCATCTTTTGGCGTTTATATATCCCAACTTGTTCGATTCGCTCGTGTATGTAATAACGTATTTCATTTTAACGAAAGAAATCTCTGTATTACTGAAAAATTATTACACCAGGGTTTTCGATATCACAAACTAGTCAAAACATTTACCAAATTTTATCATCGGTACAAGGACATCATTCGTAAATATGAATCAACATGCAGACACCTTATACGTTCAAGTATTTCACATCCCATTTTTTATGGTAATATTCTATACAAAGCACAAAAATGTCAACATTCACCTCAAAGCTAACCAAACCTTTAAACAGACTTATTCAGAAGGGATATTGCATCGGAAATAAACACATTTATTCTAAAACCAGTTGTTGGCATGATACGGGTTATGTTCTCATATATTTTATGATGGTATGATTCTAAACCCCTAACGGAAGGGATTGTGCTTGATTTTCATATGATGAAGACATAATCTTTCAATCAGTTTAATTGAAGTCTGGAGATGGCATGCCAGTAACTGCTAGTAGTCCTTTGTTAATTTATGTATCATTGTCATTTTGCTTAGTTTCTTTTGTTACCTATTCTGACATCGGACTCGGACTTCTTCTAAACTGGGTTTTACTGTGCGTATAACTGTGTGTTTGTTTATTCTACACTGGCTAGAGGTATAGGAGGAGGGTTGAGATCTCACAAAACATGTTTAACCCCGCAACATTTTTGCGCCTGTCCCAAGTCAGGAGCCGCTGGCCTTTATTTGTCTTGTATGATTTTTTTAATTTTAGTTCATTTATATGTTTTGGAGTTTAGTGTGACGTCCATTTTCATTGAACTAGTACACATTTTGTTTAGGGACCAGCTGAAGCCCGCCTCCGGGTGCGGGATTTTCTCGCTGTGTTGAAGACCCATTGGTGACCGTCGGCTGTTTTCTGCTGTTTGGTCGGGTTGTTGTCTCTTCGACACATTCCCCATTTCCATTCTCAATTTTATTATAAATAAATATAAGTAGATATACTAAAATGATCCAATAGTTCAAAATCTAAATTAACAGAAACAGACATAAACGGGAAACGTTTGAACATTTCAGTTGAAGAAAAAAAAAAAAAAAAACACTTTTACTTATCTATAATTTTTGTCGAGACAGCGATCCCACATTCCGTCGTCGGCGTCAACATTTAGGTTCAGCAAGTGGTTAAAGTTTTTTCTTGCATCAACACCTTTCATGGAATTTAACGATAAATTGGACTGAAATAAAGGCAACAGTTGTATACCGCTGTTCAATAGTGAATAGTTCAGAAACTTATTAAAATTCAAAACACGGTATCCAGAACTAAATTTTAAAAATATTTTTTTCTTTTTCTTTTCATTTTCCTTATTTTACTGGAAAATAGCATAGTTTTTTTTATTCAGTTTACATTAAGAAACAGTGTAAGCTTAAAGTTATCAGACAGCAAATCATAATGGAATATTACGAAAATTAGACAAAAGCTTTTCATGATCAAAAGACAGTATCCAGAGCAAAATTTTGAAAATATTTGTTTTCCCTTTTCCGTATTTTTACTGGTAAAGGGAATTAATTTTTTAGCAAACATTCACAAATGTAGTCTGGAGTTAAAGAAGCTATTGTTTAATAATTAAGAGATATTGTCTGCAGTGGAATTTCGAAATATGATTCGTTTTTCATTTTTCAGTATTTTAATGATAGATGGATAAACTTTGTTCTGAAACTTGAACTGAAAGATTTTTTCAAGACCCAGTAATAGTAATTGAAATAAATCGATATTTATGGCAAAAAGTCTTCATTTTGCATAACTATAATTCACGATTCCACTAATACTCTAAACTACAGTTCGAAAACAGAAAACACAAACACACTAAAAAGGTAGTTAGCTTCCACCCCAAAAAAAAACAACAAAAAAAAAAACCCACTGTACATCTAGTGTCTGTAAAAAAAAAGGGACAGTCAAAATGAAAAATTACAATCACCTTCAATTCCGTCAGGCTCATTGTATAAAAGATTTTGTAGGTTTTCAAGCATATATAAAACAACGTCATCTTCAACACCCAATTTCTACCATAGGAGGCTGTTTTAAAAATACCTGTAATTTGTTAGTGCCAACTGTCTGCTTAAAAGTTTGTAGAAAGCAGTTTCAGATAGGTAAATGAGAAAGTTTTGATATTTATTATCTAATGAATTGTTGTTGAAGGTCACAGTTTTAGACAAAGATTCAGTGTTAACAGCAAGACTTTGCCAGTCATATAACGATCCACATATTACAACGTTTGATGGAAGGTTGTATCATTATATGGAAGTTGGGGAATTCGTTCTTTACAGAAATGACAGAGGTCCATATTGGGTAACACATTTCAATCTCATCTATTTTAGTTAAGCGATGTAATAACTTTGTAAAAGAAATATTTTAGTTGGTGTTTTTGGTAGGTTGATGTTTCATTAATAATATCTTACTTTTATCTTTTTTTATGGACAAATATGACAAGTATTATATTTTTAAATTTCAAAGACCTATTTGAAGAAAAGCAAGAATCCAGAATTGAATACTAACTACAAATGTATTTTTAAATTACTATCAACTAACAGTTTTACGAAGCTACAGTTTGTGTCATCCAAACAACCTGTTTACTTTGCAAAATATTTTATCAATTTTATCAAGGGGAAGTTGTCAAAATTCTAAGTAAAAAAAAATAGGAATGAGATAAGGGTATATGTCAAGAACATTAAGACCAAAAATATGTGTTCATAGATAATTTCAAAATATAATTCAGTTTGTATTTGAAGAATATTCACAATAAGCTATTATTTTAAATTACTACCTAGGATATATTTAGACTGTTTTTATTCAGAACGATAGTATATTAAACAATATAGCTCAAATAAATTAGTAAATGTCTATACTTAAAATCAAGCTCTAAATTGACCAGGGCAGACAGAAATTTCTAAAAAATAAATTAAGATAGACCACCAAAGATATGCCATCAACACCTAAGAGGATCCTGAAATGAGTAGGAACATTAAACTGAAATGAGTAAGAACATTAACCTGAAATGAGTAGGAACATTAACCTGAAATGAGTAGGAACATTAACCTGAAATGAGTAGGAACATTAACCTGAAATGAGTAGGAACATTAACCTGAAATGAATAGGAACATTAACCTGAAATGAATAAGAACATTAACCTGAAATGAGTAGGAACATTAACCTGAAATGAGTAGGAACATTAACCTGAAATGAATAGGAACATTAACCTGAAATGAGTAGGAACATTAACCTGAAATGAATAGGAACATTAACATATGTCATGGTTAAACTACCATTTTAACAGTTCAACCCAGAGGAATGACAAAAGATACATAAAAAGGGCAAAATAAAATCTTCACAGTAAAAAAACCTTAATTCTCTATCATCAGTATTACCCACGACAAAAACAAAAGTTAATGGAATCAATACTACATAATACCCTATGGAAGAATGCTCACAGTAACTGAAAGAAGACTTGAACATTTTTTTAAGTTTGTTCTTATGTTGTGCTGTTTCACCACTGTCCCAGGTTAGAGAAGAGTTTAGCGCTTACTAACATATTTAACTCCGCCACATTATGTACCTATCCCAAGTCAGGAGCTATTTATTCAGTGCTTGTCGTTGGTTACTATCTGCAATTGTTTTCGTTCATTTTTTTAAAATCTGGCCGCTGGTTTTCCGTTTGAATTGATTCACATGTTGTCATGCCGAAGCCTTTGGTAGCTTATTTTACGGTATGGGTTATTTCCTCATTGTTGAAGGCCGTACGGAGAACTATAAGCTTTACAACATCGTCCTTTTGGTCTCTGGTGGATATATGTGTCATTTTCAATCAAACCACATCTCTTTATTTTCATATTGACGTACTTAATCTGCAAAATTCTTGCATTCTTAAACTCCTTATATTAACAGTTTTACATCTCGCTAATTTAATATCGCAATATCTGAAAATTTTCACAAATTTCAAAAACACAATCATGTGCAGTGTCCAAAGTAAAAGTACACAAAAGTTCAATCAGGAAATAAAACATTTAAAATTGTAAGTAAGCAAACCGATATTAATCTTCCAAATTGTAATTATAACAAATATGAACTAGTTTATAAAATTCGAAAGGAAGATTTAAAGGACAATTATTGTACTTGTTTTCTGTAGGAATATAAATTACAACTAACCAATAAAGTATACAATGTGAGATTTTCTCATAACTTAGTTTTCATTATGTGGCGTCCGTGGTGTGTCGAAAACTAAAAACGTCATTGCAAAGACTTCTGATACAATAAGTATTTGCAAAATGACGTTTTTCTCGTAAATAAAAAGTAAAATCACATAAATACTGAACTCCGAGGAAAATTCAAAAAGGAAAGTCCCCAATCAAATGGCAAAATCAAAAGTTCAAACACATCAAACGAATGGATAACAACTGTCATATTCCTGACTTGGTACAGGCATTTTTCTTATGCAGAAAATGGTGGATTGAACCTGGTTTTATAGCTAGCTAAACCTCTCACTTGTATGACAGTCGCATCAAATTCCATTATATTGACAACGATGCGTGAACAAAACAAACAGACAATAGGTAAAAATGTCAAAAATAGGGGTACAGCAGTCAATATTGTGTCATCATCTTAATCACTATAAAAACAAACAAATGTAACGAAAAAGCACAAAAAGGCATACATCAAATTTAACATCCTCATTTTGCTTATATTATACGATTTTATTTATCTATGTAAAATCCACCCATAAAGGATGGAAGGTTTTAAGTACTGGCGTAAAATCGCGCGTTTGAAATTCGCACAGGTAGACATAAAATAATTTTGTCGTTCAAAGTATGACGGGATACATAAATAAAAGGCACTAAATGTTGCATAAAAGTACAACCTTCCTTGTTGGTAAAAAATACGGAAAATACCAAGGGAACATTTGAAACTCATATGTTAAAGAAACACTGACGACGCCATGGTAATAAAAAAAAGTCTACAAAACACTACATAAAAAACTTAAAAAAACAAAAGCAACACTTTCCCAACCAAAAAAACAAAAGTGAACTTGTGTGATCTGGAAGGTTAATCTGTTCCAGCTACACATGTGGCATCCGTCGTGTTGCTCGTGCAAGTAAAAAAACGTTGATAAGTTTCATTCGATGATGTCGCAATCGAGGAAATGAAGACGGAATTGTGGTTACGTCAATTGGAACATATTCAATAAATTTACTTTAAAATTGTTGTGTTTGAGCGTTCCTGGTGAAGGTAAATCCAGAAAAGTGATTCGACCGCACCAAATTTATAACATGCTATATTCTTTTATAAATTTGATGCGTGAAATGCATTCAAATAATCATAAATTTATATAGAAAGAATTTGGAAACAAACTATGACAAGCTATCCTTTGAGATGATTTGGACAACCATCTATAATATTACTGTGCGTAAAAGATTTTTTAAAATTACGATATGAAAATATAAGATTAAATGTGAAATGTATATATTTGGTGATGGTGAAATGCAAATATGTTTCTTTTCTTATTCAAGGTTCATGCTTTGTTAACAAATTGTGGATTTGGGTGGAGTGGTTCTTCTTGTCATTGTGGTATAGCTATTAGAAGCAGAGGTTCGTTGTTTGTTCTGCGAACATGTGCAAAAATCTCTCGGAACAACAAATATCTTCTTCAGCAACCTTATACTGAACTTTTAACTTGTGATGACAATGATATGTCAATAGAACACATTGGAAATACATACAAGGCTAGTATTTGAATATTGCTTATCGTGTTGTATAATGAAAAAGCAAAACGACAAAACATAACTGGACCTAGCTCATTCTGATAAAATATAGAATAATTATCTAAGATGAAGAGAAGTTTGCCTCATAATTCTATCCATTGTCCAACAATAGACTATTGTGAAGAGTTGTCTCATTGGCAATCATACCACATCTTCTTTTTATATTAATTGCAATGTAAATATATATCCAAATTGTTTAACGGACTCCAAATCGATTTCAGATATGAAATATTACCAACGTCTTTTTTGCCTTGATGGTTTCTTAAAATGTTATTATCCTACATATTAAGATGTCCAAGACATGAACATTAATCAATAGTTGAACTTATATCAACCAAACATAATAAGTAAACCATAGGTTTCATTGGTTTCTTTCTCCAAAACTTTACCTTTGAACTGTGATAGGTCAACAACAAATATTAGCTACCCTTTAAAAAATTGCATGATAAAAAAATACTGTACTATACTTTGTGAGAAAACTTAAGAATACAGAAAATTATGGTGCTTGGCAACTCTGTCATTTTAACCCGTTTGTAAAGCTCGCTAAGCAATTTTTTTTTTGACAAATACATATGTGATATACTCTGTTAGACTTTTATTCGTGGTTTACAGAAAAATCCTTTCGTTTTGAGGTTCATAGTTTGCCACTTAAGGGATCTTTGATGGTAATGTGTTTCGTGTGGTATTTAATTTCATGAATTCAATTCACCACGTTAACCAAAGAAATTAGATACACCACTAATTATAACAAAGTATTGACGATGCAAATAGTAATATAATGATTTACGTTTAAATCTATTTTGCAGATAACTTTGCAAACGGGAACAGAAATAAAGTTTACTGTATCACAATATAGTAAATTTATATCAGGAATTTCGATTAAGCCCTCTATCTATGACATCGATGAAGCAAGAGGACTTTGTGGAGTTCCAAGTTTAACAAAAGATACTTCTGATGATTTTACACATCGTGATCTGGGTCCTATAAATAATGAGAAGAGTTTTGCAGATTCGTGGCGGTATATTGAGTTCTTTCACCAATTTTAGTCTCATTTTTAGGCTTTTTTGTCCCCTTTGTAACAAGTTTACTTGTGTTTATTCATTTCTTCAGTATGGTACAACATGTACGTTAAATATTCATATATTTTAACAATAACCTTGTTCTCGAATACAGGTATATAAGATTATAATTGTTGACATTTTACCTTTATAATCTGTGTTCGTCTGATACAACAGAAAACAAACAATTGTAATAAAATTCTTGTCATGTTGTTTCAACTGTCCCGTTACAGCCGTGTTCTGCTTCATACAACTTATAACTAGAAATCAACATTCAATTTGTATAAACGGTTAAGAGCTATTTTTTGCAAAATAGATATGAATTTAATTTTCTCATTGTATACTTTCTTTTTTATTTAGCAGCATAATAAAAAAAACTTAATGGATTATATATTTCCGAGTTGATACGATATTCCAAAGCGTGTCTTTTTTTTTATCAAAATTATCAAAAATAAAAAGAGGAGTTTTCCGAATTATATTTAAGTATTCGAAATAATTCTGTTCGAATGGTCGACATATGTCATCATGACCATTGCTAAATATTTTTCAAACAAATGACTAATTGATTCATTTCTAGTAAGCCCCTTTCATCTTTCGTGACTTATCACCGCTATTGGAATTAAAAATGAAAAACAACGCGTTTACCTTTTATTAGTGGAATATATTTTATTTTTGTTTAAATTTTTGTTTGAGTCTATAATATCTAAGGTGTAAGAAAAGTCTTCCAAAACTTGTTTCATTTCCCATTTACTACTCCTTGACTTTCCTTTAACTAGTTTCAGATTGTCAACGCGATGTTTGTTAATTGTCAGTGTAATTACAGGATTGATTCTTTGTCTACGCCAAATGAACAGCTTTTTATCAAAGAGCCTGCTTTTTTGTACGATGATGCTGTAATTTATATGGAAGAAAGTACTAAAGTAAATATAACAGTTTCCCAATACTGTGTCTGTGACAAAGAGGCGGGACCGACCGACAATTTGGAACAATTCTATACAGTCCGATGCAACTTGACAGAGAGTACACAACATTGTTCATCTGAAACCAAGGAAAATGACAACTCTGTTCAACCCTTTGTTACCTCGTGCTATTATAATACAAGAAAGAAAAGGTCTTTGTCTCACCGGATAAATCGACGTAGCGCCACTTACAATGATGACATTATAGATGATTCTCCCCTTGAATACGACGATGATATTCAGAATACTTCTTTTGCGGTATATATTACATGCTAAAATTATTTATTTACATATTTTAACACAATTTTTTCACAAAATTGTCCAAAAAAAGGAGAGAAAACCATATTGCTGTTGTAGAAATGTGTCTTGAAGGAGATTTATTTCTTTTGCTGTAAATAAAAAAAGATGTTATCAATTCCCGCCTTCTAAAAAATGAATGTTTATATCGATAAGTGTTTGCCATTACTAAACTGATTGGTTTCTTAACATTATTTTTTTCCTTAAAAAAAAGGTAAAAACTCTTTATTGTCTTCAAACCTTTTTCCTGGATAAACCATCATCAGAGACGCTCTTGGCCAAATTGGTCAGATAACAAAAATAAATGCAAGAACATTTTGACAGAAAATAGAAAGACTGCAAATATCTTATAATAAAACAGCACAGTTATTATTTTATTGGATCTATTTCTTTGAAACCTTACATTTTGTGAAATAACAAAATGTATAAACTGGAAAATCTTTTTAATCAGGAAATAGACTATCGTTTGCTTTTCACTTTATTAACTTTATTAGACAGGGCATCATACTAAAATTAGGCCAGAACTTCACTATGGACGTCAATTTTCAAAATATCATATAGTTTTGTGGTTAAGATAATTTTCAAAATATTTATCAATTATTCATTTTTTTTTAAATTTTACAATTCGTTCGACAGTTTCTGATATTTGGCTTATCTGTAGATCTTGGGTTGTTGATCAATTTTGCTGTTTAAAGTTTCGTTCTATGTATATTATAATTTTCAAAATAATTGCAAAAAACGATAAAATTGGTCAAAACTCGCCGTTAAGGGGGCAATAACTCCGATAAGTAGTCATCATTCTGATCATTTTAGTAGAAATGATGAAAAATTGGAATATTTTGACAATCTGTGCATATTTGTTATATTATTATAATATTCAAGATAACGGACATTGCATTTCAATTTTCATTAGCCATGGCGGGTATGTTGGTTGGTCGACTGCAATGAAAATCACAAACTTTAAAGCAGACGCCGCAAGGAAGATCCAGTCAATCTTCTCAATTTGGCCTGGTGTTTTAAAACTGACTTTTTAAAATATTCTATAAGACAACGACAGACACCAATACTAATAGCTCATATTGCCCCTCTGGTCATCTAAACTAAAAACGACGTGACATACAATTGTGTTATCGTTATTATAATCTATAGCAGCTAATATTCAGTCCGTTGAACTTTAATGTTTAAGTAGATCGGTACTTTGCGTCTTTTGTCTTTTATGTTAGTTGTTTCGTATTTTTCGTACCAATCTGTTGAATTAAGCCATTGCCAACTGTTTTTTTTTACTGTTTTTTCTTATGTCGTACTGTCACACCACTGCCTCAGGTAAGGGGAAGGTTGAGCGCCCACCTACATGTTTAACCCCGCTATATTCTTTATATACTTGTCCTAAACCTGTAATTCAGTGGTTATCATTGGTTGCTGTCTGTCAAATTTGTTTTTCATTTAATATTCAATCTATTTTTTAAAAATCAGGCCGTTGGTTTTCTCGTTTGAAGTTTTTCACATTGTGTCATGCGGGACCTTTAATATATAGCTGTCTATACGGTATGGGATTTGCTGATTGTTGATGGCTGTATGGTGTAATTGTTAACGTCATCTGGGGTCTGTTGTTCAACTTGTCGTTAGTGCTAACACGTCGTTAAAATTTCTTAATCATTCGATTAAAATTAATCATATGATTAGTGTGTTGTTCAACTTGTCGTTAATTTTAACGCGGTGTTAAAAATACTAAAACTGTCGTTAAACTTAATCAACCTCTTTGAGGTGTATTAAATTTTAACCATATGATTAAAGCATCCAACATGGCTGCTGTACCAATGAAAAAATTGGTTTTTGCTCGAAATATGAGAGGTTTAAGAGATATTTATCTTCTGCAAGGGGATTTTTATCTGTGAAAGTACTTTAGATTTGAAAGAAACACAATATATGTGTTAGGAGTGTTGAAACATAAGTTGGAAAGGCATGAGACCAGATAGGGCGAAGGATCGGACGGATACATATATAGTCATTTCAAATGATTTGATAACAGAAAGAAATTGCACATTTCGGCAGTTTTTTCGTTTATATTTTACCTGTTTACCGCTCAGTGACTGTGATGATAATTCAAAGACTAAATGTAAAGACGGGCCGCATTATTGTGTGTAATCATTCAACAAATTATGACGAACAGCTTTTATAAATAATGAATGTTACCATAGCATTAATGTACAGGCCATACGTGATTTCCAAAGCAAGTCTTTGCTAATTTTCCCATTTTTCGAAGTTCAAATATTAGCACATTCAGTAGCGCCCTTGACCTAACTGTTTACGCAGGTAAATTCTAACGGATAAATTCGTCCCACAGATAGCTCGGACCTTACGATTTTTATCTTTACACGGAGTTTTTAAACATCATATATGTTTTCCCATTTAGTATGATGAGCTTGACGAAGATCCAAATCATGGCGGATCAAGCCATTATGGGGGGTTCCAACGGTGTCCTGGTGAAAAGGGTTGTTCCAACCATAAGTCGCCTTTTAAAAGCCGTTTAATTGTCAAATATAAGGGGGTAACAACCCTCGGACCCCCCTCCCCTGATCCGCATCTGCAAATATCTATCATGAAAATGTACTACCGTAAGTGGTTTATGTTAGTGATTAAAAGTATAAAGAGACTGAGTCAATGAAATGTATCACATTTCTCATCTGACACAATATACCGTGAAAAACAAGCACCTGTTATTAATTTAAGAGGCTGAGAAATCTTATTTCCGAGTGTCCGAGATATTTCAAGAGACGTATTGCACCCCTGTTGGGAGAGGGGAAGGATTTCTGTTATTAGTGCCGGTCTTTCCAATAATTTAGATCATCCGGCACAGAATATATATTTGAATTTTTTAACACTCAACTATGCTTCTCTGGTTAGTCCGAGTAAGAAATGATAATGTATAATTTGCATCAATAGTAAAAATAAAGAGCTTGCAAACATCCCACAGAGCAAATAACATGGATAATTTATATTGACCATCTGTTTTATGGTCGTGTTCTTAGCGACACGTTCATGCAGGTCATAAATCAATTTCATTTTATGGAATCAAATCTTTATCTACTAATGGGTGCAGTAGGAGGTCCACCGGAGTTTTGAGCGAGGAATTCTTGGCATGTAACAGATAAAAAGCTCAGGGTTATAATTCATAGAACAGACAAGGTGCAGTGGCAAATATTTCATGCATATTTTGAACACAGAGAGCGGGGTACCCCTGGCACACGGTTTTCCAAAAAAACAAAATCTTATTTCTCTTCAATGTGCCTTCAGACTTTATGTTTTCAATTTTAGTTTCACTTTCTATATTCGGTATTTATTCTAATGTAAGCCCAACGTGGTAAAAATCACTTGATGCAGGAACATAATATCCTAGAGTTGGGCTATTTCTTTCTTTTCAGGTGGGGATCGACTCCAAGCAGACAACATGCATGCGTATAGCGACACTGTAAATTGTCTTTTTAAATATAGAGAGTTGTTGCCGGTCACGACGTACTTGAAAGGTTTATCTTTTTTTTTTAGTTAAATTTAAAAAAAAACAACATTAGACAAATTGTGAATGGTCTTTCTCTGGTTCACTGTGTATCATCGCCACCGGAAATTGGTAATAACGAAGCGGAGAGAAAGGAAAAAATGAGTGTTATACTTCAAAACGGTGCACTTAGTACCAGAAAATTTCGAGGCCAATCGCCTTCCGTCCCATCGTTAGCAAAATACTCAACTGATTTTCATTCTTTTTCCTGACAAATCTTTTGATTATGAATGTATGACTTCATATTTACTGAAATTCGATCTCAAAAAGACGTTTTCTAAAGAATATCATTAAAAATGAATCCAGCCTAGGGTACGGCAACTTGCTACTGTTCACATATTTACAGTACGGCAACTTGTTTTCCAACTGTATGGCAACTTGCTAGTTTTATTAAATGTTTATGCTGTCCTTTTCAAGATTTACAACATTATTTCTTAAAAAGGATGGCATATACATATATAAAAACTAGCAAGTTTGAATAATTTAATTATAAATCAAATATAAATATAATTCGCCTAACGGCATTGTAGATCATGGTACTTTTATCATACACAATATTTTGCAACGCGGTCCTATTAAACCATTAGCATCATGAAAAATACATATTTTTCTAGATGTATACAAGTGTTCTAGCTGCTCTTTGGTCGGGTTTTTGTCTCTTTGACACATGCCCCATTTCCATTCTCAATTTTAATGTTATGTCAATATTTTACCTGTTCAACATAAAAAATAATCCCTGTGTCCATAAATAAACCCCTTTTAATTGTTACTAACTATCTATTTGATTTATAGATTACATCACATCTCTTAAATATCAGAGTTTACGTCAGATATGCGATGCAATGTTATGTCAATTGCCCTTAATAGTCGACTATACGGTATATGTTTTTTTCATTGTTGAAGACCGTACGGTTGCCTATAATTCCTTACAACCACTTCATTTGAACATTGGTGGATAGTTGTCTCAATGGCAATCATACCACATCTCCTACTTTTTAACTGGATAATCAGGAGGATTTTATCCGTGTTGAATATTAATTTTCCTCCTTTGCTACTCATTATTTTTTCACACGTTTTTTTTTCCATTTTTTGTAGACAATTGTATTCTGCATTTTGTGTTGCAGAATTTTTATTTTCAACTCTCCCCAGGCCAAGTTATTTTTTTTAATCCCATCCAAACACGAAATGAAGTTGTAGTCCCCTTTCTTCTTAAATCATTGAAAAGGTTCTCTGACTGTGCTTTATGCCATTACACTTGCACAATTGAATATTTAAAATTGTCACACTGTATCTTCTTATGCCGTATGAACTACAATCGATCACAGTTCTGTTATACCGGTATATCGCGATCTATACCATCCGTAAAAAATATCTTAAATGTTAACTTGGCATGCCATACTTGATGAAATGCGGACGTGAAAGAAAGCACTCTTCCCCATGTGGTGGGGGTTACTGACTATCCTTTCTGGTATAAATGTGCCGACAGCACTTGCCAAATCATATCCTGTTCTAACCAGAAAACAATGAAAAACATAACCTGTTTTAAACAGAAATATTGAAAAACATACCCTGTTCTAGACACGCTCAGAAAATGTATACCTTGTTCTAGACAGAGACCTGTATCTTAAACAGTTAAATAAGCGATCCTGTTCTAGACAAATACTTTGTTTAAAAAAAAGACCCTGTTCTCACCAGCAGGGCATGAAAAAGCGACCCTGTTTTGCGGCACACTCGTACCACTAAAAACATAGGAAGTAACCCCCCCCCCCCCCCCCCGGGGTTTTTCGACCACCTGCATGACCTCATCATTTCAGATACCAAAATTTATAAGCAAACACATGAAAAACTCTGGCCCTAGTCATAATTTAAAGTGGAATGCAAATGTTGATTATTACAAAATGCATTCTAAACCATTTTCATGGTAAATAAATGCATATATGTATTACTTTCTACATTCACTGAAATTATTTTTCCATTCAAGCACATTTCATTTTGAACTGGAAACATATCTTAAATATGTATATGTTTCCATAAAAAATATGAACATGTTATAAGATATTTATTCAATAATTATTGGCACCGAAAAACTGGTTTTAAAAAGAAGAATGTTATAATTTAAAGCAGAAAGGGAAGTTATATAGGCCCTGATTGACAATGCATTGTGGGAAACACTTGCTAACTACCCAAACTTAATCATATGATTAAAAATTAATACAGTGATTAGTAAATACAATGATTAAAATAAGTTGAACAACGAAATTTAATCATTGTATTTACTAATCATGCGATTAACTTTTAATGACTCATTAAACTTAATCATATGATTAGTTTAATCACAAGTTGAACAACAGACCCCTGGACTTTGGTGGATAGTTGCCACATTGGCAATCATACCACATCTCCTTATTCTCATACTGAAATTGTTTAGTTGATACTGTCTTAATGTGTATAACTTTTAAACATACATCAAATGTTGTCTTCGTGTTTACAGAATCCTGAATTCAGAAACGGTTGGACAGAAGTTGAAGCAAATAAAACATGTACCGAACGTATTTAAAATTCAGTCCCTACTGAATTTCTAACAGATGTTTGTGGATTGATCAGCGATGATTATATCAAGTCTTGTATTTTGGATATCAAAGTAAGAATAATTCAGTATTATTGACAATATCGAAAACATTTAACTTGGTGCCGTTACAATGTAAATGTCAATTATCCAGTGGTTTAAAAAAATACCAAAATATTTGAAGTTCAACCGTTTCGGTAAACATTTTCAGTGCCTAGACATTTCGATGATCATTATGATTGAAAAGAACAATTTGATTTTGATTTGTTTTCTTTTTTATTGAGCATTAGAGAAATAAACAAATATAAAGTTACACAAACAATATATAGACGCAGCATTGAAATGCAATAAATATAAGTTAACATTGTAACCTATTCCAGCTAACAGCAGACACCTCATTTATAAAAGATACAGTCGGGGCTATGCAAACGTACGCCTTTATGGAAGTTTCCAGAAATGAAACATTATCTTTAACTAGAGCAGGTGATGGAAACCAAACAATTCTTGAATACATCACAAGTCTTATTTGTCCAAACAACTGCAGTGATAATGGAAACTGTACCTCAGGTAGGTTTATGTTATCGTCAATATAAAAGTTTTTTAGGGGTAGAAATTTGAAGACTTTGAAAGTTAAAATTTTCGAGTTAAAGTCATAATTTCAAGTTTTGAAAAGTTAAAATTTTCGGTTGAAGTCTAAATTTAAGAAAGGCCCGAAATATCGTCCTCCATCTAAAATAGATTGAAAACAGTGTCGTCAGGTCATTACAGACGCTCTGTCTGTCTACTGTAAAAATTGGTGTAAACGTGAAAAATCTGATAAAAAATCTCTAGACAGTTATTTGAATAAAATTATGAATACTGTTAATATTCGTATATCTCATTTTGAAATCAATTCTGAAATTAGTAATAGGGTCCATGATATTCCCATTTCCAGCATAAAAAATAAACTCCAAGTACTCGCAAAGCGGTTTGTGTTCGTTCCGGCAGACAAAACAGCAAATAATGTAGTGGTGGTGTGACTAAGTGCTTCTCGTTTCTCGTTTTTTATATAAATTAGACCGTTGGTTTGAATGGTTTTACAATAGTAATTTTTGGGGCCCTTTATAGCTTGCTGTTCGGTGTGAGCCAAGGCTCCGTGTTGAAGACCGTACTTTGACCTATAATGGTTTACTTTTATAAATTTTGACTTGGATGGAGAGTTGTCTCATTGGCACTCATACCACATCTTCTTATATCTATTAAAAATGAAAATAACACTTTATCAATTTGATTTATCCGAAGCAATTTTCTATTTTTACCCTTATCAGAAACGCTCAAAACCGAATATTTGAAAGCTAAGAGTGAAGAGCTCTCCGTCACAAATTTCAGGATTTTTACTTTCGTCCTTGATAGGACTATTCTCGATTTAAATTTGTCAACTGTTTTGTCTTGTGAATCGTGGCTGGAAATTCAACCTTTATTAAAAACATATATTTAATCAGATATCGTATAAGAAATGTCCCAATTTAGCCGCTTTCAGACGAATTCGTCCCAATTATTAAGTTCTCAATCCGATTCGTATCTTTTGCGTGGTAAAAAAACGACCGATTTGTCCCGACAGCGTCCAGATTCTCCCGAATGCGACCCAACAGGGATCAGACAGTGGCCAGAGAGTGAATCGACAAAGGTTCGCATTCGGCAAGATCTGAACGCAATCTGGACTAAATCGGCAACAAACGGCCATGAAAAATTTATCCAGATCATGGCCGTGGGGGACACCGCCTAGACACCATCCAATTTGTTTGACTTTGTCTAATGACCTTAATTCTATTCTTTAAATTTTTTGCTGCATATCAATCGATTTTGTTAATATTTCTGACATGAAAATCTCTGCATTAGCAGTTTATATATACAGAGAATTGGCTCATTCAAGTGACGTATACAGTCAAAAGAAAAATAAATTGTGGTTGATACGCGAGGAATTTATTCCATAGCAACATTTCAACCCAATTTTACCTAAAAAATCATATAGCCTGCTGGCTCATGGCTTGTTATTTAAAGTGGGAAATGATAATATATTAGATAATTCTGTTTTATTTCTATTTTATTTTTATCATGTTTACTAAGTTCCAGAACGTTTTCTTGTCAAATTATTCGATTTTTGGTCTACCGGGGGTACTGCTATCATGCTAAAAAGTGTATAACAATATGACGAAAAACGTCTTTCCGGTTTTCGTTTTTTCGGCATTTTTTTATAAACATCATAAAAAAACGAAGAAAATATGATAAGGCCACGTTTTTGCCCCTCCCCCCCCCCCTCCCTTTTCTCCTTCGAAAATCAAAATGTATATAATTTAGAAAATTGTAGGCTCTAATTAAATGTTCACAGACCATTAGATTATCAATCGTCTGTATTGTTTTATTTTTAGTTACATTAGTGCTTCAAACTCCTTTTATTTTGAGCAAAACTGCAAAAAGTTACTAAATAAGCCTCAGTCTGAAAACTTAATATTTAGATATAAGCAATAGCTTTACCCAAAAAGATATTTTGTTACTAGACGTATTTTACATAGATGGAAATGTGTGTAAATATCTTTTTTGTATAAAGCTGTTGCTCATATCTATTTTGACCGAAAACTGTGTATTAAATGGCTATTTTATATATGTTGCGACATCAAATTGCTCTCCCTGCATTTAAAGTCATTCCTGGGGCAAAATAATTGCTCTCAACATCATACCTGTTCAATTGTTTCTGAATACGCCAAAAGATGCATACAATTTCCAGCGAATTTGTATATATGGTTACAGAAAATTTAAGTATAATAAAAATGCACCAATTTCCTAAGTGAGCTCTTACTTCTATCAGTAGCTTCCTCTCAAATTCGTGTAAAACATTTAAGAGTTCAATATTTCAGTGTGCTGGGGAGGTAATGTTTGACCACTATGTTTTCCACTCTAAGGGAGTCGCAAGCACAGTTTCTTCGGAAATCTACAAATTTAACGTACTTTTAATACATTATAGTTATAGTGAAACGTATACACGTTGTTTATTGAATTAAAGGGATAGTATCATGTTCTGTAGGGGTATTTGCGAAAAAAATATCAGTAGAGAGACAGAAAATTTCCTGAGCCGCTAGGCGAATGAAATCATCTTCTTAGGATTACTAGTATTTTTTGCACATACCCTTCCTAAACATGATATATCTGTTTAAGTACACATCAAAAATGTAATCCACATTTTTTTTCGCTTCAAGACGTTTGCAAAAGAACAAAAAACAGCATTTAATAAAAAAGCGCACAAATGATCATGTGTCTACGTGATGGGTAAAAAAGGTACATTCGTTTTGGCAAAAGGTAAAAAGGCATATCTTTGTGTAAATACTCCGGCGATAGTTATATAAAAAAACATACATGAAAAATACACTAGCGATCAACCAATCAAAATCCCGGATACTTGTATAAGGTGTTATTATGTTATATTGCAATTTTTTTTTGGCAGGAATCTGCTCATGTTATGAAGGTTATGTTGAAGATGATTGTTCAAAACAAACGTCAACGCCACCTTTAAACATACTATTACCTTCTAATGGTTTATGTGGCACACGTTTTCGTGGCTGTTCAAGGACAAACATATTCGGGACGTTCCCATCAACCAATGTATGGTGTAAACGAAGGCACTTTCAGGTAATTTTAAACAAAACCATTTGATAAGCTATTTGTTCATTGTTAGTTTTGGTTTCAAAATATGGATGGGAGTTTGTCCATATTTTTTCATGGTTACTCTATCCAATTTCTAACTACCCCGGCAAAAAATGACTTGTAGATATATTGAGCCACATTCAGGGTGGGATCACTGTTATTATCGTTTTTCCTTGCATTTTCACTTATTATCCAATTAATCTGAAATTAGTGTGGAAAATATTACATCTCACAGCCAGAAATAGTGATATGTCCATTTCATGTTCTACAATTTCATTCATATAACTAAAAAATAAACAGCAATCCTACTTTTAGCTGTCGTATGGTGGTTTGTAACCATATTGAAAAATTGTAACCATATTGAAAAGAAATATTTATGAGTCAAACGAAATTTTTCTTTGCCGGGACAGTTTGGACAAATTGTATGTGCCAAACAGGAAAAAAGAACATTTATTAAATTAATCTTTTAAAACACGTTACGAATAGCACAAGGCATAATTTTGTATGTTTAAAATTATAGGTTATATTATAGAAATAGGTTTTATGAGACAATATTATCTATTTGAGGTACATAAGTGATATTTCTTTCTGTTGATATATTTGCAATATCTACAAGGGTTAAACATAAGGTTGTACATTGTAGCAGCTTTAGTTGCAATTGAAATCAAAACACAACAGTTATTATTTCAATACTTTTTCTGGAAGATGTAGACCTATGTACTCATTTTTTTAGATACTGAACAATACACATGAATATACGTCAGATGCAGAGATTGTTAAAGCAGACTACAGGAATGCTTTCATGGTATCAGTGGATCTTCAATCATCTCGACGAAAACGCTCCATATCAAAAGCAGTGGTAGCAGAAGGATATGAACTCAGTTTGTCAAATGATGGAAATCAATTTGGAGATTCTGTCAATATAATAATATATGACGACGAGTGCTATTCTTGTAATGCATCATCCATCATATGCATAGTTCTAGTAAGTTTATATATAGAAATATGGAAATGATTTTCAATCAATCGAAACATTTATATTTGGTTATATAATGAATAAGATTGAGAATGGAAATGGGGAATATGTCAAAGAGACAACAACCCGACCAAAGAGCAGAAAAAAGCCGAAGGCCACCAATGGGTCTTCAACACAGCGAGAAAATCCCGCACCCGGAGGCGGGCTTCAGCTGGCCCATAAATAAAAATGTGTACTAGTTCAGTGAAAATGGACGTCATACTAAACTCCAAAACATATAAATGAACTAAAATTTAAAAAAACATACAAGACTAACAAAGACCAGAGGCTCCTGACTTGGGACAGTTTGTCAAGAAAATAGATATATAATTAATCTCCAAAGGCTAACTGCAATCTTGTTACAGATTAATACTTGGTCTTTTCTATATCGGATATGTTCTGATATTGGACGAGTGATAATAACTGGGCAGATATGGAAAATGCAATAAGTCAATATGAATATTATTTACCTCTAGTGTGCTAATTCACCGAGTTGACCCATATCAGCCCAACTACGTGAAGCCAGCCCGGGCTTTTATGAGGTTACCATCATCAGTGTGTTCGAACAGCACTTGAAAACGTTTAGTTTATTCTGTTTTGAATAAACTCTATACATCTTATTACATATGCAGAAGTGGCTATTTCCTAGTTTATGAATAACGTAAGTAAAAATTGGACAGAAAGTATATTTGAATAAAATTTTAAAGGGACTGTCATATTTACAAGGTTATATTTTTCTTGTTGAGAATTTGGTATTAAAGAAAATGTTGCTTAATGTTGAATTTTTTTAAGGATACTTGTCCTGAAGTGACGTGGCCAAATACAGAATCTTCAAGTGAACATACCACTCCCAGTAGAGGTATTTCCACAAAACTGACCACATCAATAGCAGAAACAACGTCTAATACTGCTTTGAGATCATCTGAAATGTCGAATTCAGGAGAAATAACACCAACTGATACACCTAGCGTATCTACAACATCTACCCCAGAATTATCTTCGAGAGAGGGAGCATCCGAATTGACATTGACGACAATGGTAGAACATGTAACTACAACATTAAAGCCATTGACAGAAGTAGACACAATTCTTACTAGTGAAGAAATTCCCAAGGACAAATTTACATCACCTTTTGAAACCACGCATAAAAAGTATGATACAACTACTGTATTTAAACCAACAACAAATGAAACAGAAAGGGCTACCTGGCAATCGACAACTCTATACAACAAAGAAGGACAGGAAACAACAAGCATCACTGAAATTTCAACAAAACCAAAAACGACAAAAACTACAGAAAAACAGACCGAACCACCATCAACTACAAGCTTCAAATTGAAAACTACAGATAAAACAAGAACAGACACAATACCTGACACTTTTGAACCAATAACTACAAATAGTTCCATATCAACTGAAGAAAGTACAACACCATTAACAACATCTACTAGTATCGAATTGACAAGTACAGAAAATGCTATCAATCAAAAGCTAACAACCGATTATTCAGAAAAAACAACAAACGGGAAGAAAACGACAAATTTTAAACTAACGACTACAGATAAAACAAAAGAACAAAAGGCAACCACCACAACTGATCCGACAACTTTACAAAGTACAACAGAGCAGCAAAGGAAGAACGACATTGATTCATCGACAACTCAAGACAAAACCACAACACTGAAAAAATTTCCAGATTTCGAAACGACAGCTACTGAACATTCTATAAAACAAAATTTATCTACAGATCTTAAACCGACTAATTTAGTTAGCACAAACCATGACGTAATAACGACTATTTTTAAATTACCAACAATAAATCAAACCTCATCGCAAATTATAACCAACCCCGCTGAACCGACAACCATGGAAAATGCACTATTACAAAAAGAAACCACCACCACAGAACCGATATCTATCCTTAATGCAACGACACACATATCGACTTTAAACACTGAACCAAAAACAACAAAGGAAATAAAAAAAACCACAACATCCATCATCGTTCCAATAACCAAGCTAGGTGCAACAGAACAAGTATCAACCACCACAAGTGAACCGACAACAACGCTAAGTTCAAAAGAACAAGAAACAACCAATGCCTTCGATGAACTGACAGCCAGACAAAGTACAAAAGAAGAAACAAGAATTTCATCCACTGAATCGCCAACCAAGCCAAGTTCAACAGAACAATATACATCCGTTACCAACACTGAACCGATAAACATGCTTAGCACAACAGAACAAAAAACAACAATAGCCACTACAAAACGGTCAACCACGCTAAGTTCAACAGAAAAAAACACAGCAATTACCAACACTGAACCGACAAACATGCTAAGCACAACAGAACAAGACGCATCCATCATTACCAATCAGCAGACAACCGAGCTAAGATCATCAGAACAAGAAACAACCATTAATACCGATCAACCGTCAACCAAACTAAGTGTAACAGAACTAGAAACAACCATTTTTACCAATCAACCGACAACCAATCTAATTGTAACAGAACAACACACAGCCATAACTAATACTGAACCGACAACCATGCAAAGCTCAACAGAACAAGACACAACCATTACCACAACTCAGCCGACAACAACGCTAAGCTCAACAGAACAAGAAACAACCACTAATACCAATCAAACGGCAACCAAGCTAAGTACAACAGAACAAGACACAACCATTAATACCAATCAACCGACAACAACGCTAAGTACAACAGAACAAGAAACAACCATTATCACCACCCAGCCGACAACGGCGCTAAGTGCAACAGAACAAGACACAATCATTACCACCACTCAGCCAACAACAACAATAAGTGCAACAGAACAACAGAACAAGAAAAAACCATTGTCATAAATGAACCAACAACCATGCTGGTATCAAAAGAACAAGAAAATTCCATTGCAACCAGTGAACCAACAACAAGGCAAAGTACAACAGAACAAGAAACAACAATAACAACTACCCATCCGACAACAAGTGCAGGTGCAACAGAACAAGAAACAAATGTGAGAAGTACACCCGAGCAAAAAATGACATTCCAAGTGGAACAGAGCAGGAAACAACTACCCTGACTAGTTCTGCAACGGAGAAAACAAAAACACATCTGACTAAGTTTTCAGTAGAACCTGATTCTTCAACAAAATTATCAAATAATCAAGTTGCAACACAACAACAAGAAAGAATGACTTCTCAATCACCAAGTGTAGTTGAAATAACCACAAAGGATGCTACATCTGAGGTAACAACAAACTGGAACGTAAAATCATCAGAATCTCAAGCTCCAGCGAAACCTTCGATTTCTGGTAGGTTTTAATGTTATTGATAAGGTTATCAATTTAAAATTAATCACGCAAAGTGGTAATAACCTTACACCATATTACCGGCTATCGGTACGACAGATATAAAAGGATGTATGTTCCTGATTGCTGTTACAAACAATTGTTTGACTATCGTGTACAGCAGATGTGTGTTTCCTATTGCATCCGTCAAACCTGTTGTTGTAAATAAGGTGTGTACTTGCGTCTTGATAACAAATAGAGGTGGAATAATGTAACTGCTGCAGTATAAGTCATGGATCTCAATATTACTTTTACAATTCAGCGCTTATAATGTACTTCAGGCCTTTTGTCAACTAAAAACTATTGTCTGATTGGTTTTCAGGGGTAATTTTCAAAAGTTCAATCGGGGAAGGACAGACTGAAATATTCCATAGCTTGAAGATGTAACAACCCTAGATAACACACACACAAAATGATTTTTTTTAAGGTATGCACAAAAAAGATCAACAAGTAAAGTCTGTCGTCAAGGGCTTTTAGTAAACATTTCAGTGGGATGTTATTCAACCTTTTTACCGACCTTTTTTTAATTACATTTTATGAATAAAATGATTAATACGCCGAAATTTTAGTTTGAAAATTAGTGAATGAAAATTTAAAAAAATACAAATAAGAAAAACTACTAAAAAAATAAAATCACAAAAATACTGAACTCCAAGGAAAATTCAAAAAGGAAAGTACCCAATCAAATGGCAAAATAAAAAAAAACCAAACACATCAAACGAATGGATAACAACTGTCATATTCCTGACTTGGTCTACATAAGAAAATGGTGGATTGAACCTGGTTTTATAGCTAGCTAAACCTCTCACTTGTATGACAGTCGCATCATATTCCATTATATTGACAACGATGCGTGAACAAAACAAACAGACACAATAGGTAAAAATGTCAAAAATAGGGGTACAGCAGTCAACATTGTGTTATCATCTTAATCACTATAAAAACAAACAAATGTAACGAAGAAGCACAAAAAGGCATACATCAAATTTAAAATCCTCATTTTGCTTATATTGTACGATTTTATTTATCTATGTGAAATCCACCCATAAAGGATGGAAGGTTTTAAGTACTGGCGTAAAATCGACTTAACAGTAAAAGTAATATCAATAAAGATAAATAAAAGAATACTATAACACGTTATTAAGATGATAAATAACGTCAGTTCTCAAAATCTATACTTCAAGACCATCGTGTATAATTTGTGAAGTTGATACGGAATTATTTATCAACAAGTTCTTGGTACCTTCCGATGAACTTTTTTAGAAAAAGGACGGGACGTTCTTTGACATACCCCTGGTTAATCAACTTTCTGCTCAGACACTGGTGACGTTTTACAAAGTCTGAGTAGGAGCTGCAAGCTCTTGAATACCGAATAAGTTGGGAAATGTATATCCCATATGCAGGTGAAGTTGGTATATTTCTACTAAAGTTGTGGAAATTGATAATTTCAAAATTAAAATCGTCTCGTTTGTCATAGATTTTGTACAGAGATGACTGTGTATGTCAAATGTATAAGTCTAAAAATGAGGCGGAGGAAGCCGTGTCTGTTGTTTCTTTAATTTCTAGTTCTGGTGGATATATTAATGGAACCCAATCAGAAAAGTACGGATTGTTAATGGAAAGAACATCATCAATATATCTGAAAGTGAAATTAAATAACTTGGCTTCTTTGATCTTCTTGTTTTTGACAAGTGTCTGAAGGAACTCCGATTCATATGAAAATAAGGAGAGGTCGGCAAGGAGAGGCGCACAGTTCGTTCCCATAGAAATGACGACAATTTGTTGAAAAAGTCTACCTCCAAATTCAACAAATATGTTGTCAATAAGAAACTCCAGCATACTGATCACTTGTTCCTCTGTGTAGCATGTTTTACCCTTTTGTTCACTATTAACAAAATATGCCTCATGGTATCCCAAAGAAATAAATTTATAGCGTATGCTACCTTTTTTATGATGAAAAGCATTGTGGACTATTTCTTTTAGACAGTTTTTCAATTTCACATGGGGAATGGTAGTATACATCAGTTTAATTGTGGTCTGGAGCTGGCATGTCAGTAACTGCTAGTAGTCTGTTGTTATTTATGTATTATTGTCATTTTGTTTATTTTCTTTTGTTTCCTATTCTGACATCGATCTCGGACTTCTCTTAAACTGAGTTTTACTGTGCGTACTGTTGTGCGTTTGTTTTTTCTACATTGGCTAGAGGTATAGGGGGAGGGTTGAGATCTCAAAAAACATGTTTAACCCCGCCGCATTTTTGCGCCTGTCCCAAGTCAGGAGCCTCTGGCCTTTGTTAGTCTTGTATCATTTTTAATTTTAGTTTCTTGTGTATAATTTGGAGTTTAGCATGACGTCCATTATCACTGAACTAGTATACATATTTGTTTAGGGGCCAGCTGAAGGACGCCTCCGGGTGCGGGAGTTTCTCGCTGCATTGGTGGCCTTCGGCTGTTGTCTGCTCTATGGTCGGGTTGTTGTCTCTTTGACTCATTCCCCATTTCCATTCTCAATTTTATGGTTGAAAAATCAAAAGTTTTGATAGAACTAATTTCAGAAAAAGACCGAGATTTAAAATTATCCAGAAGTTCTAACATGTGTTATAGCACGAAGCTCTTTTTGTTATTCAAACACACCTACTCTGTTGTGATGACTCATCAGAAAGGTATTTCACTTGACCCATATATTTCCTTTTTTTATTAGCACTGTGAATTTTTAATGTTATTATATCAACATGAAGCCTAAATATATAAAAATAATAGAATCTGAAGCGAGATGATGAATCAAATATTTTTTGCTTTATACGTTTTCTAGACATAATAGTCAACTCAAACACGCCTGAAGGAAGAAATGTGTAATCGACTTTCTCTTTTCGATAAAACTATTGTCAATTTTGAGGATGTTTTCCCAAAAAAAAAACTGCTATAGGAGGCAGTTGGTGACTCCTTCTGTTGGCCTGTGTATTAAGATATTTTTAAAGAGCTACAATATCAAAACAGCAAAAGTACAGAATAAAAGTGACGTGCCATTTTGTACATGTCCCAAAGGGAAACGTTGTTTAAAGCAATACTGTTTATTGTTTCATTGCATTTATTAGAAAATGGGGAATTTGCGGCGAATAAAGCCATGATTTTTGAAGAAAATACACAGACTTCATTTACAGAGGTTTTCGTTTTTAAATTATAAACATAGACAACTCACTTGTTTGTCCATGATGTGCTGGCGTTTATTGTTTATAAAAAGTCCTTGACAACCTTTACAATGCAAAAAACCTTGTGTTGAGTCACTAAAGTCGAGCGTACCGTAGAAGGTGCACTTGAATAAGTATATACCTGTTTTAGGGAAATCATTGCTAGCACTGCATGCAATAACCCTCTTTCTATTAAGAACCGAATATTCAAATATAATGTCATTGTTAATTGCTTGGTTAAAAAAAATGGCTTCTCATCAAACTCAGTTTTCATTTTGACAGTTTAAACATAATTATTATTAAGCATTAATATTATATATTGAACTATTCCGACTCTTTATTAAAGTTATTGCACTTTAATGATGATGTTTACCAATTTTTTTGCGTCATTGCCAAATATCTTAAAAACTATAATAGAATTTTTAAAATCAAAAATAATCAGCACGACAGGATCTACAAATGAGTCAACATGGCCGAAATATTCAGTCGACTACTTACTAGAGTTATTGCCCTTAAGTGACGATTTTTACCAATTTTTTTTCCGTTTTTGTCTTCTAACTTAAAAACTATAATAGATAGATGGAAACATTAAATAGCAAAAATGATCAAGACAAGATCTACAAATAAATCAATCATAACCGAAATCAATAGTCGACTCTTTATTGAAGTTATTGCCCTTTAATGATAATTTTTAACACTTTCTTGCGTATTTTGCCTTTTATCTTGAAACTATAATAGATAAATAGTAACTTTAGATAGCATTAATGATCAGCAAAACAAGATCTACAAATGTGCTGTAATGGCTGAAATCTTCAGTCAACTTGTTATTTGAGTCGTTGCCCTTAAATAATAATTTTTAACATTTTTATGCAGTTTTTGCTTATCATCTTGAAAACTATAAAAAAAAAAATAGAAAGTTCAAAATGAAAAGTTGTCAGGATAACACATACAAATATGTCAGCATGACTGAAATTGCCAGTTAACTCTTTATAGAGTTATTCCGCTTTAGTGATTTTTGCTAAAAACTGGCCATTGTTGAAAATGCAGGTTGGCGACACAGGCTCTTTATGACCTCTTGTTTGAATATGCCACGGAGTTTAATATGCTATTCACATAAATAAGAAAACTTCCAATTAGAGGCCGCAAGAATTGTAACAGGTCTTCAAATTTTCACTAAAACTAAAACCTTGTACTCTGAGGTTGACTAGGTATCTATTAGAAAATAAAGCTCAAAATATACTAAAATTTGTTCATAATTATTTGAAAGAAAATAAATTAAAAATGTTCAGATGGAAACTCTTACATTTTATTCTTCCAAACAAAGTTTTATTAAAACAATGGAAAATATGCCAAAACTCAGACTGTAATCACTGTAATATTACAGAAGATTATGAACACTTTTTTATTACATGCCACTTTCTTGATAAATTTTGGAAAGAAATATTTAATCTGTTAGAAAAAGTTAAACTTGGAAAACACATTTTAACACTAAAAAATTTGATTTGGGGTTACAAAATAAGTGATATAGAATACTATGATATTAATTTTTTTCTTACAGTGATTATGTTTTCAATTCACAAAATACACTATCTGTCAGAGTTTAGAACAAAGAATATTAATGTATTTTCTGTTTTTAAAACTGAGCTTAGAAATAGGCTCATTCTACAAAACAATTTTTTAACCATGAAAGAAAAGGTATATTAGAAAAAATATTTAGATGTATTTGAATTGTATGATTGATAACATGGTTAGTAATGTTATCTTTGTGTAATAATTAATTTATTATCTAATTTTGTATTTATATATCGCCTTGTTTATGATGTTGGCAATGTGTTTTCGTAGAGTTTTATCTATGACGTCATTAAAAGTACAGGTTCGCGGAATTACGTCGTTCGCTCCAAGTTAACAAAAAGATGGGTTTTACCCTAAGTAGGAGTTGCAGTATATATTTTATTTGTACTCGGCTCAAAACAGGATAGAAATGCTCGGTAGAGTCTCGCTTTCCAACTGTTTCTAAGCCTTATACAAATAAAATTTAAATTTTCGAGACAGTGTATAGTTGTTCTATATTTCCCTCCACAATACGCGAGTGGAATAAGCTTGATTAAACAAAAAAATTCGCAGCGTCGACTTTAAATTAAATTTAAGAAAGAATTGAAAACCGATAGTTGTTTAAGTAAAGTTGAAACGTTTTATTTGTACGGTTTGAGGAAATTGATTATTATTTTAACTCAATTGCGGTTTTCCGCTTCAGTCTTAAACTTTTACCTTTTTCGAGTTTATATTATACTTGATCCTTCTTGTTCAGATATTGAGGATGTTCACCATTTCTTTTTCGTTTGTCCAAAATACACTTCGTGTATAGAACCTTTACTAAATAATCTTAATTGGCTTTCCGAAAACTTTGTTTTAGATAAAAAAACTGTTAATTTGCAGAAACTTGGAATTTTCGAATGAACAAAATAGTCCGATTTTTCAAACATGTTCAAAATTTCATCAAAAGGTCAATCATATTTCTTGTACCTTCATAAAACGTTATTGATACTGACACGGACCATCATCATCATCATCATCATCATCGACATCATCATCAACACCCATGTCATCATCACAGAATTATATGACTTCTCATTTTTTGCTTCTTCTTTTGACCTTTAGATCTATTACGAATTGTTTTTCTGAATATTCACGACATATTCGTCATTCTATGTTAAACATTCAACAATCGATCAATTTTAAATTAAAAAAAAATGTAAAGATAACGTTTTACTTCAAGAGAGAAATTATATTTTGCTACCACGGTGGAACAATCCGTCATACGTGACATACGTGTCAGAGAAGTTCTACAATTCAAATGAAAAACGCTATAATTGGAATACAGTATTGACTCCCAGTGTCAAACTGAAATAATGTCTACATAAATCATTTAACCATTAAAAGAAAAAACAAAATCGATGAATGAGGTTTGAAAATGAAAAAAAGAGAGTATTATGGCCAGTATGATTTGGAAAAGAGTAAAACTGACGCAAATTCTTTTTTCTTTAGTTGCTTCAAATATATATAAATGCTGGTGGAGGTAAATTGACATACCATATCAAAGTTACTTAGTGAAAATCAACTTCCCCTGGTGTGTTTATTGTTTACTAGAAGACTTTTTTCGTCAATCGCTTTTTCCTGGATTTATGACTTTATACCGGAAATGGTATTACGTTTTAAAATAATCTGAAGTAGATCACAAAATAATGAAAAAAAAAATAACTTAAAGTAGTTAGTTCCTGTGCATGATTTTTAGAATCGCTGCTTTTATTTGAATGTGTGTTAAAATATTGAATTACATTTACAGATAGAGACGAGGCTGTTTCTTATGTAGGACCAATAGTTATGGGATGCTCAGTAGTTATCTTTCTTCTGATATCTATCATAGTGTTTGTTTACTGGAAGATAAAGACAACAAAATCGCAGAAAGGGTAAAAACATTAATGGTACATACAATACATTGGAGTATATAGACACGTCCAAAAAGTTCGGCATGGGAAAGAGAGAACAGAGTAGCCAATTAACTATTGAAAAATAATCAAATTTACTAAAACAAATGAATAATTATATGAATATCATTGGTACATGTAATGTAGTTAAATTTAAGAGTAGAGAAAAGTGAAAAAATAAGACAAATGATTCAAATGGCTTTCGTTCACATTTGTTGTTTTATTCATATAAAGGTATATATAAATAAATGATAAACATCGATTTACTTTTAATTTTTATCAGGAATACAGACGAAATGGACAGCGTGGATTCTTCCTATCAAGTAAAAAGGTGGAGCATCTATACTGGACAGCCTGGATCATTTTTAAAGAATACTCCGGAAAATTCATGGAATTTTCGACGCGCAGTTAGACTTAATACCAGTGAGAGAGAGGACGTTTTCAGTCAAATAAAGCAAGAGTCCTGGACAACAGCCTAACTGGATATTGTACAAGTGTGGCATTTGATTATTACATTTATTATCATATATATTGTAATATTATTTTGAAGAGTCACTGAGGGCGGCTCACATTCTTTGTTGTTAATAATGCAAAAATCATTCCCATAGTTTATCAATAGATTGCCATGGTCTTTCGTTTTTACTTATTCGACAATGCATCAAATTTGAAAAAGACGACTACGCTAGATAAGAGATCTTCACATCCCTCCTCTTCAGTTTCATCGTCACTTCATGTCGCTCAGTCTCTATTTTTATAGTGTTTTAATGATTGCTCTTGTTTCCTTCGAGACAAAGAAAGGAATGTGCTACTTCTTTGTGTTTTGGTAAACAAATCTGTGCCTCAGTAAAATAACATATTTCTGTGTGTTTTGTAACCTTTGCGCTAGAATGTCAAAACCCATGTTCATCTGTTAACAAAGTATACGTTACGTCATCTTATTATTTTTTTAATATGGTTGAAAAATTTCACTTTTGAATGTCAATATCCTTTCATTCTGTATAACACTTCTCATCTGCATGAAGACATTTTTTTAAACAAATCTAAAATTCCAGTATACAGGAATTGGAAACTAATTTTTCACCGACTGATAAATCATTGAGAAACTTTCTTTTAAAATGGCGTCAAAAATGTAGGGAAAACACATATTTTCTGGGACGTAAGGATAATTTGCATGTTATTGTCTTGTATATAAAATAAATATGACAGGGTTAAAATTTCCCAGAAATTTAAGATATACGGATAAAATCTACCTATCAGACGATTCTACAATTGCATACAAATAACAAATAAGTAAACAGAAATCCTACCTTTTATCTGTCACCGTTCTGGATATTAAATACTATCGATTCGAAGCATGTTTGCCGGGGTAGATTTGACACAGTGTTATGCGCAGACCATTTATTTTTTGTTGAGGGGACGAGGCATTTTTGTTTCACGGAACAAGTTCAATCTTTATTTAAAAAAAAACATTTTTCTCTAACATAGAAGAACAAGATTTTCTTTAAACTCAATGTTGAATTTGTTTTTTTTAATTTTTTATGAGAACAATATTTGTTTACCTCCCTTCTGAAACAAATAATAAATTATGTTTATCAAGAAATTTTATTTCAAACATTTTTTTAATCCTCCCCCTCCCAAACAAAATGATTGGTCGGTACTTAAAACATTTTGTATCTTATTTATTTTTTGTTATATTATTAGCAGCAGTATATTTTTCATTGTATTTTTATTTTTGTAACAGATTTTTTTGTATTATAATAGAAATGATGTGACACTCCCCTTTTTATGCATGTATATTATTACAAAATCTCATAAATTTATTTCATATACTTCTCTATACATATATTCATTAACTAGCATAAAATAAAATTAGAATGGTGGTAGGATGATCTGAAGGATGACCATCATAAGATAACTTCGTTTTACATCCTAGGACAAGTTTTAGCAAAGTCCTAAGGCCAACTTGGGTTTAAGACATGAACATGAAGTCCATAAGAAAATTTCTGTAAAGAAAAGATGGGAACTAGAGAGCATTTCATTTGGTATTGTAAAAATGTCAAGAATTTTCTAAACGAAATTAATTAATGGTTGGTATACTTAGTTTGACAATTTTCTCCGTCAATAACACAAGATATTTTCAAAAAGAATTTTTCATAAGCTTTTAAGAAGATAATTAACGATCTTCGTAATTTAGAAAAAGTTAAATAAAAAAAAAAATATAACAATTCTATAAACTGTGGAACAATTTTAATTATTTGATTTAAAATCTACTATTAATATTTTTGGGAATAACATGACATACTTACTTGAATAACATTCAAAATAAATTTATAAAAAAACCTTCCTATTTAAACGATTAAAGTTTTGTAATCAAAGCCCTGGTTTTCGAAAGTATCGTAAGATATGCCCTTAGACATTGTCTTATGACATATTTTAGGACGTGTACTTAACATAACATTCAAACCGTTGAATGAATTCAATGAAGACTTTTCGCCTTACACGATAATTTTACGGCCGACATGGCTAAAAATAAAACATAGGAGTAAAACATGTCTCTCTCAGAAGAGGCCGAGATAACGGTACATATTTTTAACAACTGTTAGGTGTACGTTATCAATGACAACTATCCATGGTAATTTAATGAAAGGAACTACAACCACATCATGAAAAAAAGGTTTTGTAAATGCAAGTTTTGCCTATTATTCCGAAAACCGCTATAAATAGAGAAAATCTGGCGAGGATCAAAAATGTTCAAAAATGTGGAGTTCTACCTATTGTTCATATAAATTAAAACTGTAAGACGACTTCTTATAGGAGTTATTGCACTTAAATGACGAATTTTACCATTTTTAAAATTGTTTGCCTGTCATCTCGAAAATCATAATAGATAGATGGAAACTTTTAAAAAACAAAAATGATCAGCAAGACAAGATCTTCAAATAAGACAAACATAACCAACATCGTCAGACGACTCCTTGTTAGATTTATTGCTCTTTAATGACGATTTTTACCCAATTTTTTTGCGTTTTTGCCTAATATCTTAAAAATATGATAAATAGAAAGAATCTTTTAAAAGCAAAAATGACCAGCACGACAGAAACTACAAATAAGTCAAAACATAGCCGAAATCTTTAGTTGACTGCTTATTAGTGTTATTGCCCTTTAATAACGATTTTTACCAATGTTTTTCGTATGTGCCTTATATCTAAAAACTATTACAGATAGAAACTTTACAAACAAAAATTATCAAGACAAGATTTACAAATAAGTCAACATAACCGAAATCGTTAGTCGACTCCTTTTTGAAATTATTGCCCTTTAATGACGATTTCCCAATTTTTTCCCATTTTTTGCCATAGATAGAAACTTTAAAAAGCACAAATTATCAGCAAAACAAGATCTACAAATGTGCCATAATGGCCGAAATCTTTAGTCAACTTTTTATTTGAGTTATTGCCCTCAAATGATAATTTTTAACATTTTTATGCATTTTGTGCCTATTATCTTGAAACTAAAAAAGATAAATAGAAACTTTAAAAAGGAAAAATTATCAACAGGATAAGATCTACAAACATGAAATTGTCAGTGAACTCTTAATAGAGTTATTCCCCTTTTATGATGATTTTTTACTAAAAGGTTATGAAGATGTAGGTGAGCGACACATGCTCTTTAAAGCCTCTAGTTTGTTCATTGTTGTTTCGTAAAGGTTAGATGTATAATCATTATATAAGGGTTTTTTATAATCAGTATAATGATAGTAATGATATTTTTTAGATTTATTTATCATTTTTTAAAATTAATCATTGATTTACATTCATTGGTTAATTTTTATGAATTTTATCTTAATATATAGTCTTCAATTTTTTATTTTGCTATTTACTTATAGTTCAACATTAAGGATAGCGGTTAGGACATCCTATGTAAGATAATCATAAGAGAACCTTATTTTGTCGGGAACTTGATGACGTATAGCGTTTGACGTCTTTAGCCGAACAGTTTTATCTTTTTACTTTATTCAATTCCTGTGTGCAGGTTCATATTCTGGACGCCAGTCTTTGCTCATTTTAATTGGTAATACGGATAAAAAAAATGAAACTCAGAAATGGAAAAATACTAAATACCAAACTCGTTCAAAGGGTATCTACACGTCTCAATCTTCAAAATTGCTTATCTAAAAATACTACAATCGCTAACATTTTTAATAATAAAAATCGTGGTTACCCTTCTATCGATAAGTGTCATGGCAAAAAATGACTTACATGTCTTCGTCTTTACATCAACAATACGGTAAGGTCCACGTTTAATGGTCGCAATTTTCCTTAAATTTTGAAACTGATATAAATTGAAAAACTAACAGTATTATCTATTTACTCACATGAAATAAACCGGGATGCGGTATTCAGTATGTAGATGAAACAGGATCATATTTATCTAAACGCACGCAAGAACACCTTTATCGTTTTAGAAGACCCCATAAATTTAAAAGTAACATGTTTAGCCCTGCTGCATTTTTGCGCCTGTCCTGAGTCGGGAGCCTCTGGTCTTTGTTGGTCTTGTGTGTTTTTTAGTTTTGGTTCATTTGTGTGTTTCGGAGTTTGGTGTGACGTCCGTTTTCGCTGAGCTGGTGCACATTTCTGTTTGGGGCCAGCTGGGGCCCGCCTCCGGGTGCCGGATTTTCTCGCCGTGTTGGAGCCCCATTGGTGGCCTTGGGCTGTTTTCTGCTCTTTGGTCGGTTTGTTGTCTTTTTGACACATTACCCATTTTCATTCTCAATTTTATTTCATGTGCATGCTTAGACTCTAAGTCCATCCTAAATCATGTCCTAAGATATGTCTAGAACACCTTCGATAAACAGGCCGTAGGGCTCTGCGTTTTTTATACCCAGATTTTCATGGTCATTCATTTGTGGTCCATATTTTTGAACATTCTATTATGTAACATATTTAATCATTCTGTACCCAATAAAGAGTTATAAATCATACATTGTAAAATGTACTTACAAATACAAACAGATTTATACTACCAACCTTAACGGCTGATAAATGTACAGCTTTCTAAGAAAATTAAAATAAAACAAATATATATAAGTATATTTATTTGTGGTTGCTTAACGTCCAGTGGCAAATATTTCATGTAAAATCAAGACGGGAACAAATAAACAATCAATGTCATGAAAATAACTGAAACCATTAGTTGGGTTTTGTGCGAGTTATTGGTTACAAATTATGATTTTCGCAAATTTTGAGATATTAGAATTAAAGAAGCATGTAAAGAGAAAGAAAAAAAATGTGATAACAACAGCAACTGTAGCCTTTGAAAAACAAAGTTTCTGGTGGTAATTTAGGTATATCATGGTCTGTTGCATCTTTTTAGTTTTCTGTATATTTGACAAAACCTTGGACTTAACAGAAGTTCAGTTAAAAAAAATGAGGGTTTATTGTTGCTCTATTTAAAAAAAAAATAATAATATGAATGATTGATTGTTGTTTGCTTAACCGTCAAGTGGCAAATATTTCATTGATATATAAAATTGAGAATGGAAATGGGGAATATGTCAAAGAGACAACAACCCGACCAAAGAGCAGACAACAACCGAATGCCACAAATTTTCGCACCGGGAGGTGGTCCTTAGCCGGCCCCTAAATAAAATTGTGTACTAGTTCAGTGAAAATGGACGTCACACTAAACTCCAAAACATATAAATGAACTAAAATTAAAAAAAACATACAAGACTAACAAAGGTCAGAGGCTCCTGACTTGGGACAGGCGCAAAAATGCGGCGGGGTTAAACATGTTTTGTGAGATCTCAACCATCCCCCTATACCTCTAGCCAATGTAGAATAAAGAAACACATAGCAATACGCACAGTAAAACTCAGTTTAAAAGAAGTCCGAGTCCGATGTCAGAAAAGGTAACAAAAGAAACTAAGCAAAATGACAATGATACATAAATTAACAAAGGACTACCAGCAGTTACTGATATGCCAGCTCCAGACCTCAATTAAACTGATTGAAAGATTACGTCTTCATCATATGAAAATAAAGTACAATCCCTCCCGTTAGGGGTTAAGTATCATACCATCATAAAATATATGAGAAAAACAGTATACCCCTTTTAATTTAACATTAGCCCTTTAGCTGCATCATGAATATGGTTTGAAAAATGTTATTGAAAGTTTAAATTCAGATGGCTTTTGCGGGGGTGAGAAAATTTCTGACAAGTTCAGCAAATCATGAAACCATAAACACCCTCAATATAATAGCTTTCATTACCACATTTACTGTTAAATTCAACCCACATGGATTTGCAGGTTTGCAGGTTTCAAAGTTGTTTGTTTAAAATAGAATCGCTTTCCTTAAAATTGAGAATGGAAATGGGGAATGTGTCAAAGAGACAACAACCCGACCATAGAGCAGACAACAGCCGAAGGCCACCAATGGGTCTTCAATGCAGCGAGAAACTCCCGCACCCGGAGGCGTCCTTCAGCTGGCCCCTAAACAAATATGTATACTAGTTCAGTGATAATGGACGTCATACTAAACTCCAAATTGTACACAAGAAACTAAAATTAAAAATGATACAAGACTAACAAAGGCCAGAGGCTCCTGACTTGGGACAGGCGCAAAAATGCGGCGGGGTTAAACATGTTTTTTGAGATCTCAACCCTCCCCCTATACCTCTAGCCAATGTAAAAAAAAACAAACGTACAACAGTACGCACAATAAAACTCAGTTCAAGAGAAGTCCGAGTCCGATGTCAGAATAGGAAACAAAAGAAAATAAACAAAATGACAATAATACATAAATAACAACAGACTACTAGCAGTTAC